GGTTTTACAGAACTGCTCTTGATTCCTCTTCCCATAATGTAATAATGGAAATTCACAGTACAGAAGTAGGAGAGGCAGCTGACAAATTTTGCATTTTCCTGGAAAGCTGATGTGCAAAATAAAGACAGGTCTGTATGCCCTGGTCCTACTGACAAGGCCAAGCTTGCTACCAGATCAGTTACCAATTCTTTTTTTCCTCCTGCACAAAAAGGCCTCACAGAATCCAGTTTCCACCCATGTGGTTCCTTTGTTGAGTGTTGCCCAATTCAAAGCATCCCTGAACATTGTGCTACTAATAGATGGTACATGTTCTGAAAGCAACTCCAGGCACAAGGACTGGTCTTAGCTGTATTTCCCCCTTTTGATTTGCAGTTCTGTAGTTTTGTTTCCCTTTTTTTTTTTTTTTTTTTTTTTTTTTTTCCTTTTTTTTTTTGTAGTTTTGTTTCTTTTTTTTTTTTTTTTTTTTTTTTTTCTCCATGTATTTCTTTCAAGGGCCATTGTGGTGATTGTGGAATCCCCTATTTCTCGTAATTATTCCAGTTGCTTCTTATTTGCATTGGTTGGTCACATTTCAAGTGAAGAACACCTGGGAGGTGTTTAAGAGTGCCCAGCTGCAAAGCAAAGCCTCCTCATGCTGGGCAAATGCAGTGCCCTGAGCCCTGCAGGGAATGGAGGTGCCAGGAGCTCCCAGTACCCACAGGAAGAGCAGCTTTCTCTGCAGGCATTCTCACCCCCTTGTGTAGTTTTTGTGTTTCACTTGATGCCATTGGTGAGGAGCACTGGTCATTCCCACGGGGTTACACGGAGCTGTCTGAAGTGTCTGCTGCAGTTTGCCAGGGGGAAGATGCTGCCACTCACAGGCAGCACCACAGACACAGGGTGTTCCTGGTGTGTTTGTCTGCGTGTCATTTGAGAGAGAGGGAGGCACTGACTTCATCTTGGTGTCCAACATGAGGTCACCTGTTGTTACAGGGACAGTTGCACTTACCAGCACACCCATCATGGGCTATTTAAATACCCCTGTTTGAAGAAAACCATTCCCTTCATGGAGTTGTGAGGGTGTGGTGCTTGCTCCAGCACTTAAGGAAAATGAAACTTAACAGTATTCAGGTTGGTGGGAATTTTGTCATTTAATTAACAGTAGTTTTTAATGGGGTGGGGGCTTGAGTCTGGCCTGCAAGAAAGAGCCATTTCTGTTGCCATGTGTGGCTCACAACCTGAGCGGCTCGTGGCCACCTGTGGCTGGAGGCCAGGCAGGCAAAAGGTCCCTGGCACCAGGTACTTTGTTGTGAGCAACATTCACTCTGGAGTTTCAGTGCAGGTAATTGTGTTAGTTTGACATTTGTAATCTTAGGTTTTCAGGCTGGCAAGCACTAAATGTTGTCCAGATGCTTAGGACAAAAATCCAACCCTGAAGTTTCATCATGCGGTTTATTTAATGTGTTATACCAAACCCACTTCAGTTCTCTCTTGCAGAATGGGTTGGGATTTTTCAGTGTAGTTATGTGCAATTTTTGTTGTATCTCATGAAGAGTATTTGAAAGAAAACACATATAAAGTTCTATTCTGTGTGTTAACGCAAAGAAGAGATGCTCTTTCCTGTCCAGGGCGTTTGTGCTGGAGGATGTGGGAAAGATCCCCCTCAGTGCTCCCTGCTGCTGGTGTTCCTACCTGAGTCCATGGTGTCACACTCCATCCCCACACCTGGCGAGCCCTGAGCAGTGTCTGAGGCTCTGCCAGGGCACACACTCCAGGTGGAGCAGCCCAGGCACTCGGGAACCCCTAATGGCACTGGGGGTTCCCCTTTGCAGGAGAGGCTTTTGTGAAGGCCCTGTTCCCTGCTTAAATCCACCAGGGACAGCTCCTCACAGTGCCAGGGCACCTCTGTTGTTCTTGGTAGCAGCAGGATGGCAAATGTTATTCTTACCCCTTTATGACTATAAATGGTTCTTTGAAAAACTGTTTTAGAAAGAGAGGACTTGTAAGGTGATTTTGGACATTGTGATGTTCTACAAAGTGATCTAATTTTGTTATTTCTGAAAACAGTGTAAACGTGTAAGTAATAGAGTAAAGGATTTTAAAGCTTCATCCCATGCTGTATGTCTGTAAATACATTCCATAATTTCTGTTACATATAAATGTGTCTGAATATTGTATATTTTAAATGGCCTGTATTCTGCCAGTAGTGTGAACTTCTAGCACATTGATAATATAAAAGGAAACCATGGGTATTTGAAATAAAGTTCTAAAACTTACATGAATTGCAGTATTTCTTTCTGCTGTTTTTCTGTTGCACCAACGAACATCACGTCCTCTGTGTCAGGTGTTTATTCCCCTTCCACATCATCGCAGTTCACATTTGATGGACCTGCTTTGATTTTCTACTTTTCATAGTTAACCAGGACAGGAAAATCACAGTATTTTTACAGATATTTTGCAGCCACATCAGAAGCTTTTTCTTGGGTATTTTTAACCTTCCCAAAGACTGATTTTTTACAGAATCCTTTGCTCATCTCTCAACAGCCCCTTGTTTTTTGCTTCTCTACATAAATGATACATTCTGGGTTTGGGGTTTCCTGCTGCCAGTCCCATTGCTCCTTGTTCTCATCCTTTGCTTTTGGCCTGTCTTGGGTTTGAAGTGTAAAACTCTCACCCCTCCTTCCTGACCCTGTTGCTTTTGAAAAGTTTATTCTTAGCCAGAATGTTTAGTCCTCTTTTCATCTCTCCTCATCACTACTTTTATATTTTTTAAAATATAAAAATGCAAAGCCTAGAAATTGCCAGAGATCCACAAACCCTCCCTGCTTTTGTTACCCTGTGATGCTCTTCCCTGCTCACCAGGCTGCTCCAGCATCCTTGTCTGACCCGGTTGCTCTGTCAGCCACTGGGGACAGCTCCATTCCTGCCTCTCTCAAGGCTGCCCATCTCTCTTAAGGTATTTATTTCTCCCCCTCAGTCTAAAGCTTCCTCCTAACCAGTTGCTTCCCAATCTCCAGCTTTTATTCTGCATTTAATTCCCAGGAAAACACCCTCCAAAGGGCATATGATTTCCCTGCAGAAAATTCCATGGATGTACGTTTTGATCCCATCTCTCCACAGCAGGAAAAATGGAGCAGTACCAACTGTGGCACAGTTCCTCAGAAGTGCTGGGTTTGGGACTCAGCTCCCAGCCCTGGATGTGCCAGCCTGTTTGCTTGGCAGCTGCACAGCCCAGACACAAACTGCTGCGTTTTCTGGGCAGTGAGGGGAGGCTCACACAGAGAGCAGCACCTGAGATGAGCTGGTGCAGCCAAGGAGGGGCTGGATGGGTGGCACTGTGGCCACAGTCCCCAGCCCAGGCTGTGTGGCAGGTCACAGAGTTCACTTGGGTTACACACCTGTGCCCCTGTCACTACCCCGCAGTGGCCTCATGTGGGAAACTGAGGTTCAGAACCCCAACTTCATGGGAAAACCCTGTTCCACTGTTGCCTCTTTGTTTCTGTTTCCAGAGCTACTTCACTTTCTGAGAAGCAAGTGCAGCCCAGCATCAGATTTCAGTTGTTTGGTTGCATTAATCAAGTGTGCCTGGAGTTTGACAGCAGAGATCTGCTGCCCTCCATGTTATCCTGCTTTTCCTTAGCTCAAAGCCTCTGGAGAGTTTTGAGATCAACTTCATTCCTTCCACCCAGGCAGGTCACCTGTTGACACCCTCATCACATACAATACAACCCAAGTCTGTGGTGAAATGTACAGAGTCAGCAGCACTGAAAAGGAAGAGTTAAAATTAGGAACTTAAGTCCTGGGTTTGCACTGAGGCACCTCCTGCAGTGGGGTGTAAGCACAGTCCTGGCTCTTCCTGCCAGCACCAAACTGCTCTTAGCACTGCATGGGGAGCGTGGGAAGCGAGGGCATTTGTTCAGTACCAGTGCTGGAATGGGAATTTGTTCAGGTTTCAAGCAAGCATCCATGCTCCAGCAGGAACACCAGCACTTCTAATGCAGTTTGTCTGGAGCATCTGCAACTTCAGCACTCCCCTGACAACCAAGTCTGCCTGATAAGGCACCAGCGCCTTCTGTTCAGAGTTTTGAGCCACAGGCTCTCTGCTCATGGTTTCAGCCATCTCACCTGAACTTCAGAGCTTTTGGCCCAGTTCAGGTTGGACACGAGGCTTGGATGCAGCCAGCACGGGCTGGTCACAAAGAGCAGAGCAGACTGTGCTTTGAGATCATCTCCCACGTGGGAGAGTCAGAAACCAGGCAGCTCAGCCACAGGGCTTTGTGCACAGACTGCCTGTGGACTGACGGTGCTGTCAGGAGCAGGGATTCCCTTTGGGTTAAAAGCAGCTCTGCTCCCTGCCTTCAGCCCTGTCCCACTGTGCAGTGGCACTGGCCAGGGTGGTGGGGACAGCTGTGACAGACCAGCTCCTGCAGGCAGCACGGCTGGCTGCCTTTTCCCTTTGTTCTCCCCTTGGTCAGAAGGTATATGGAGATGTTCTGTCTGTGTGCTGACACTGTGCAGGACTGTGGGAATGGAAACCTGCGTGCTCTGCCTGCACTTGTGTTTATACTGCAGACTTGCCCTTGTTCTCCCTGCTGATCTGATGCCAGTGCTGGAGGCATGGAGAGCACAGAGGGAGCCCAGCTGGGCTGCCTTAGCCTCCCTGCCTGACACAGAACCACCACCAGCGCTCTGGAGGCAGCAGAGGAGGCTCTGGGTGCAGAGCATCCCATGCTGGTGAGTTACTGGGCTGGTAACAGGATTACCTCCACTGTCTTGTTTCCCTAAAGCTCTTTGCAGGGGATATAGTGTTTCTCACTGCTTTGATGCAAATCCCCTTTCTGCTGGGAAAAAAGGCTGTACAAGGGCAGCTTTAAGATCTTCAGTGCAGCTTCAACAGAACTGTGTCTGCAGGAACTGTGTTCTCCAGAATTGCCCAAGCTCCGTTACGTGGTTTATTTTGTCCTGTCACACATACCACAGTGCCTGCCCAGCAGCACTCCTAGAGCACATCTGTGGCCACTTTGTTTACTTATTTCTTTGCTCTAGATTTTTCCTTGCCTGTATCCTTTTCTGCTGACAGTTCCTTCCAATATTTCTCAAGCTCCTGGTAGGGGCCAAGGAATCTGCGGACCATTGTACCTTTCCACCAGGCCTGCACCTGGAAGTGAGAGAGAGAGAGGCCTTAGAGGAAATCGCTTGCTGGGGTACCTGGTACAGCTCAATGCCTGGAAGAGTCCTCCCTGTGCTCTCCAGCCACAGAAGGGAACCTCCAGCCCATGCAGCAGCCTTTGGGGCTGTGCTGGTTGTGCCAAAGGCATCCGTAGCTGGGCTGAGGGCACCTGTTGCTGTTGGCAAGGGAAAAGCAGGGGCACTGCCCCGTGACCCTCCCTGTATCACCTGTGCAGTGATATTTGCAGGAGACTGGCTGCTCCCCTTGCATTTCCCATCTCAAACCTGCAGCCAGCTGCTGGCTCTGAGTATGCCCCAGCAGGAGGAACAGGCTTTGTCCTTTGCTTGTGCCACACACCAGCCAGCTTTCTGCCTGGACAAAGCCTGTGGCACAGATTGTGAACTCCCAGCTGCTGCTGGGGCAGCACAGCCTCAGCTTTGCTCCCCTTTACCTTCACAGCACTCTTCAGCTCCAGGGCTTCCTGCTCTCTTTGTTTCCTCTTGGTCTCCTTGTCTGTCCGGTCAATGATGATGGTTGTCTGGAATGTCAGGCACTGCAAGAAAGCACAGGCATGGCAAAAGCCATGACAAACACATCCCCTAAACTGCAAGGCCAGCCTTCAGGGCTCACTGTGCCCAGCCATTTGCCAGGGCAGGGCACACCTGGACCCTGGTGCAAGGATTCCTTCCCTCTGCTGCCCACACGTCTCATTCTTGTTACACACTTCCCACAGCCCTGCCAGGACTGCTCAGGCCCATGGGTTGTGGTGTCCCTCTGCACCAGGGAGCTCCAGGGCAGCCCAGGGATAATGTGTGAGTGGGGGCTTTCCTCCCCACCTCTACTATTTGATCTTTTCTAAATCCAGATGGCAAATGTTGCTCATTACCACCATCAGTCTTCAGGCACTTGGAGCTGCTGCCAAAGTGAAACCTCTCACGGCCTGGATGTAATTAACCCCCTGATCCTGTGCTGTAAAATGGCTGGCTGATGGCTTCCCAGGCAGCAGCTGCTGGTGGGGAGGACACTTGGTCCCCCAGGCCAAACAGCAGATGATGTACAAACACACTTGGGAGACTGAGATGGCAGTGTACAGAGTGAAAAATGAGCCCACAAGCAGGGAAACATCCAGCTCCATCCCATCATTTCGAAGCCACGGAGGGTAAGGAATGTTTACAAGTAAATTCCTTCTGGTTTTAAAGCACACATTTTTCTAGATGCTTTTCTCTGTTCTGTGCTGCTCTTCTGCTGTGATCAGAGCTCAGCAGTTAACCAAGAACCCAGTGGGGCAGGAATGGTTCTACCCAGAATCAGCTCCCTGATCACAGAGCCCTGTGCAGCTGGGAATGTGTGTCTGCAGGAAGGGATGAGCTTCCAGTCTCAGCCTGTCTTATCTTGATCTTCCTCGGAGGAGCAGATTTGTTCAGACTCAGGCAGCAAAGTAAGGTGAGGCATACTGATGGGATGGGACAGTACTTCTGCCCCTCACAAAGGCTGTCAGTAGCTCTCTCATTACTTGCTGGTATTTGAAAATAGCTATAGGGGAAACATCATCATCCCTCCTTGATGTCACAGGTGGCAAATAGAAAATGACATCTCAGCCACTGTCTTCCCAAGACAAGTGCTATAATCACAGCCTATGCCTCCAAATTACTGATTTTTTCCTGTGGTCCTGGTTCCTTATCCAAATGAGTGTAGGAAAAAGCCCAATCAGTTTTGCATGGCTGACTATTGAGATGCTGATGTCTTACCTCCTTGGCAAATCTCTGCATCGTTTCCAAGTTCTCTGCCTTTAATGCTCTTAGATCATCCAGTTCTTCGTCTTTTGCAGTAGTGTCTTTTTTATACTTCTCTATCCAGGATTCCAGCCTCTCTTTCACCTTCTGCATGGGGAGAGAGTGGTGCTCAGCAGGGTGCAGAGGGCACAGGTGAGAGGTTTGCTACTATTACGTGGTCTGCTTTCAGGATGGGTATGAGAGTCCTGTAAACTGTGCATGGTCAGTGTTTCCTTCTCATCTTGAAAGCATCAAACCCCTAAGACTACTCACAAATTACTGCAGGGCAGTAATTTTGTGCAGTCAGTTCTGATCAAGCAAGTGACAGCCAGAAGCCATTCTTTGTGTGTATACAGAAGGAGGGGGGGTTAAAAAGCACAGTTTGTCAGTGGGAGAGCTTTTATCCTCTGCCTGACTCCCTACCCACTTTCTGCATTTAGCTCAGCACACCAGGAATAAGGTCCCAGGGGACAGCACTTCACACTATTTCAGCTTGTGAACTTGGCTTTGTGTTCATGAATAGGGCAGGTGTTTCTGAAACACTCACCCAGATGACTTCCTCCTATTCACCAATAACTTCTCCATAGCAACCACCGTGATTGCTTCTATGGAAAAATAATCTGAGGAAAAGCATCAATCTCATTACAGCATCACAGCTGGACACAAGGGGGATGGAGGGCATGGCCATGCTCCTGTCTGCGGGCCCCTGCAAACCACCAGCTGCTGTCTGAGCACTGCGGGGCTGCTGCCGGAGGTCAGCCAGGCTCAGCACGTGCTTGGGCAGTCCCCTCGCTGGGAGCATTGATCACACAGAGCTCTGGGGCACAGGGCACGCTGTTCAACTGCTCACAAGATACAGCACTGGTTTGCACTCAAATTACATTTTTAAAAACCTGTTATCTCCTATTAAATTCTGTACTGGCCGTGACCTCAGGTACCCTGCAGCAGTCCAGGTTTTCTTCCCGACACAACATTTATGAGAGGCTTTGCAGCATTAGCTACTGTGAAGTTATTCACTGTTAATGATAGGAATGCTCTGAACCTCTGAATCAAAACCACAAGGGCATTCATGCTGCTGAAAATGTGTACAACAGTTGTGGGTTAGCAATGATCCAACCCCAGTTCTTCCTCAGATAAGGCTGGACTGACATTTTGGCCGGCTGGACTGGCAGTTTTTGTCATTCCCTCCTCAGTGTCCGTCCCCTCTGCGCAGCCCTTGGGTCTCTGAAGCTGGTGCCCTTACTTTGGGCTCTTCACTGGGGTGCTGGGAGCCCCAGCAACTGCCAAGTAGGGTCTAATAAAATTCCAATGAGCCAAATGCAACTATCTGAGAGAGGAAAAATCTGTAACACCTGAATAAACAGTGCAATTCACTACATGAACCCTAATTTTAAGGAAATATATCTGTATGTAGGAAATCCCAAGCCTTGGAGAGCTGGGTTAATTAAGATTTGAGGACAAGTAATCACTCAAACTGCAGCGGTCATGAACCTGGTACATTTGATGGAACAATAACTGTTTTCCTTTGGGCACTAATTGATGATATGGTGTTTATAGGTTGCTATTTTAATCATTAGCTGACAGTCACACATACCTGATACTCTTGCATGAGGAAATTTTCAGTCTCCGTGTGAAGCTGAATCTCCTCATCAATTTTGCTCTTCAAATTCTGTGATCAGAGCAGACAGAACACGTGTGAGGCAGTGTTGGTGTGTATGTGTGCACACACTGCTGCTGAAAGCTGAGTAAAAGTGCTGGAGCTATGTGTAGTCAGACATTTTTTCAGTGATAAAATCAGCCAAGGCAGTCCTTGCTCCTGGGCCATCCATGAAAAAGGGACAATTAGATCAGACCTTGATCAGTCATAAAAAGATGCTTGCAAAAGCAGAACAGTTTTCTAGTCCAGATCACCTTATGGCCACACAAGCAGCTCTATCTGTGTATCTGCTGGGGGCACTGCTGGGAGCTCAGGTTGCTAATACCTTTGTAACCACCCCTTTGGATATACTTCTGGGTCTGGTTTTCTGGCCATGGCATTGCTTTAAGCCTTCTCTGTCTCCTAAAGCCATGCCATCCTTGTTGTTGCTCTTTGCAGCATTATACAGAAAAACAACAGAAGACATAAAGGTGTCTAGCCCCAGTGAGTTTCCTGATCCAGTTCAAACAGCAGTGCTGGTGACTATAATGGAGAACAGAGACGGATCTTCCCTTATTAGATGGAGATGCCTTTCAGTATGGGCCATGGGGAAGGGCTTACCTGGATTTCCTTCTCCAGGGCATTCTCTGCACTGCTGCACTTTTTCTGGGTTAGTTGGATCTGGAGATCTGTGTTTTTCTTCATGTAGTAGCTCTCTGTGTTCACTTTGGCTGTGGTCTCTTGAAGCTTATCTTGGAGGCGATCAATAACATCATCTCGGCTCTAGTGGAGACAAAAGCAGCACAAAAGGAGGCCTGGAGACTGAGGTCAGCTCACCTTTCTTCACCTTTCCACTCCCTGATAAGGTCAGAAGAGACAAAGCTACAGGCTCCACTTTCTCTGAATGTTGCTCCATTTCAAGGAGCATTTCAAAGGTTAGTTTGATCTGTAACCCATATGGACAGCAATAAACCCATCAGCAAGGAGTGATTGCCTTTGGAGAGGACAGATGAGGAAGAGTGGGAGAAGAAGGCAAGCCTGCTCTTTGGTCAAGAAATGGATTCAGTCATGCTTAGAATAAATATGAAAAAAACCCAAAGAATTTTAACCAATTAAAGTTAGGCTTTACTTTTACTAACACTTTGCATTAGACTATCTCAGTGAGTGAGCATCTGTAAAAGGAGGATAATGTCTCAGCCCCAAAAAAGCCAAGGTTTGTTATCCTAAAGTATACTCTATTCCTTGGATTTTTTTTTTTTTCTAGTTATACAGCAACTGTATAAACACAGCCTTAGGAAGAAGTGCAAATCTAATGCTGACTTGCTCATATTTTCAAACAGTTCTTTCTTGAAATCTTACTGGGCAGATGGTGCCCACTTCATTATGAAAACACACACCCAGGGCAAGGAAGCAGTGTGAAAGAAAAAGCTGGCTACGAGGTCCCAGCCTCTCCCCATGCCTTGCTCTGCAATGGAGCTGAGCTTTCCTGAGGCAGAAAGCTCAGTTTTCTGTTCCCTAGAGCTCTCCCATAGGCCAGAATCCTGAGTGGTTTGTCCAGCTTTTGGAGCATGCTCAGAAAGCAAAGTGCATTTGCTTGATTTGGGATTGCTGTTTTGTTTACTCCTTTTTAATTAATTTATTTGAATAGCAGATAAAGGTTCATTACCCTGTGGTTGGAACTTGGGACAAATGCCTGTAAAATGAACTTTTTTATGAGTTAAAAAGGCCATCAAAGCTTCCTGTGTAATTATGCAAGATCAATGTGAATGCACCTAACTGCTCCATTACAGCCTTTCTCTTTGCTTCCCTGCCATGCTGTGGTGGGTTTGATATTCATCAGCCAAACCTCCACAGCTGAAGATGAAGATGAAATACCAAAGTGCTGACATTTTTTGAAGCCCACATATCTTGCCTCTGAAGCACCTCACATTCCTTAGCTGTGTAAACATGGAAAAATGCCACAGGAAGAAGCCAGCTCAATAGTGCTGTGTTTGAAAGCCCTTGCAGCATGACTCATTTGGAAAAGGTCTCCTAATAAGAAGAGTTTGGAACAGTTAAAAGGAAAGTCCTTCCTTCTGCACCCCTTGTCATACATAGGAAGAGTAGAGTACATTTATGAGGCTCAGGATAATTGAGGCCTTGGCTGATGCTGTTTTGTGGGTTCAAAGGTGTTCACATTTTTGAATGTTTCAAACACCAGATACTATTTTTATGGCCATATCATCATATGACTGCGGACAGCTACAGACATGAGCTGTTTGTGCCTCATTGAGGTTTTTGGTCACGGCCTTTATTTTCCATGGCATGGAATTTTGGTGGCCATTGGGAGGAGTTCTGTTCCTGGTCAGTAGACAGGGGATGTGAGTGTACCACTCTGTATTGAGATTGTCTTCCTGGGTCATAGTGGAATTGTGTCTAAACTGAAGAACAAGCAGAGAGACTGAGGAGGTGCTAATTTAAAAAAAGCAAACCCACAACTTTTTGTGGCGCTGAGGCTCAGGGAAGTCAAACACTGCTGATGTCAGTGTGTTAACTACTATGTGCTCAAGATCTGCAAACTGGCCAGAAAATAAGGGTTCAGCCTAAGTTACAAAGTACTCAGAGAGTTGGGGCAGAGCATGAACTTCTCACCAGGTTATTTTCTTTTTCATTTCACATTTTATTAAAGAAAAAAGTGCTTTTGATTCTTGTGCCCCAGGCCTCAGCCGGGATGGGGGCCCATCTGCTTTGTTGTTTTCTCTGGTGAATGGCAAGTCTGTGGTTTGGATTTGGTCTGCAGTGTTGTAAAACATACTGGTTAGAGGTGGGGAGTCTGGGGGCTTGGTTACACAATCCAAAGCAGACAGGAAGTGAAAGGCAAAACCCACTGGTGGTTTACAGCAGCATCTGCCTGGCCAAGGAATGTCGGCTGCAGGCGTGAGGGCAGCTCCTGCTGCAGGACCTGCAGAGCTGGGGCACGTTTGGGATGTAGCTGAAGGTAGTAAATGCAGCAGTAAATGCCCAGAAGGGGTACCATCTGCAGAATGTGCTGTTCCCTGAACTTCAGGGACAATAACTGGGAAAATGAGTTAGTATTTATTCATGCTGGTTTATCATAGCAAAGGTCCACGCCAGGACACGGAATGCTTTCATAGCTGATGCAGTAAATCTCTGGGCTGCTTATTTGGGATGACTTCAGCGTTGAATCTGCCAAACCAAATTGTCCCTCGTGTCCAAAACTATCAGAAAACTGGCAGAGACCAAGATCAAAACCCAGGAAAATAATTGTCAGGAGCCAGTCTGCTTCACAAGCAGGTAAACAAGCTGATTTTCTCTGATCTCTCAGCTCACAGACATCAGCTCAGGGGCCTGTCTGCTGTCACCTGGTGCCACTGGAGTCACCCCCACAGATGCTATTTGGCTGCAAAAGCAGCTGCACTTAGCTGGAAACCTAATCCACAGTCCTGTGTTTTCATTTGCTTTGATTTATCTCTCTTGTAAGTGCCACCAAGATCTCCCAGATCTTCCACAGCAATTAGTGTTTACAGTCATAAAATACAGCTGGTTACAAAAATAGCCCACAGGAGTAAACAGTCTGAGGAATTCTCCAGCAGTCCAGTGCTGCCCATTTGGCAGGGGAAGGAGTGCTGTGCTCTGTGCTGACAGAGGCCCTGCTCTGCCTCGCTCCCACACCCAGTGCTCAGAGCTCAAGGCTCTTCCTGGCAGCTGTGGCATCTCAGGTGGCAGGGCCTGGAGATGTGCTTGGATCCACACACCTGCTGCAGCCTGGGCTCGCTCTCCTGACACCGCAACAGGCAGCCCTGCAGGCACTTCAATAGGGCTTTGCCTGCATCACTGTCCCAGCTCCAGAACACCCTCAGGGAATGTCTGTGCCCAAGGGACAGCAGGGCTGGCTGTCACCTGGCACGGACAGAAGGCTTCTGCAGCCCTTGGCCAGCTCAGCACCAATGCCAGCAGCTCCAGGAGAGCCCCAGGAGGGGCAGTTAGCTGGTAGAGGGAGCTGACCTGTTGGCAGCAGCACTCCTGTGGAAAACCCTCCCCCTCTGGAGCCACCTTTGGATCTAGTGCACCAGCTCCAGGTCCTGCAGTGCTCCTTGGGGCTCTGCCAGCAGTAAAGCTCAGGACCATCACAAAACTTGTGCCTTCTGCTGTAATTATCCTGTGCATATCTCCAGTAGAAATATGCACCAGTGGGTGTGTATATGTGTTTAAAACATTCCACAGAATACTCTGTTGATGCATTTGTCCTCCTGGGAGAGGAAAAGGGAAGAAACATAATGGGTTTTAATCTTACTACTAAAAGCATGACTGAGTGATGTCCTGATACAGTAGATCTGGGTGTGTTATGAGAACTGACAAAGAATTAAAGTTAGAGATGTGTTCTCACTGGCACTGTGGTGCAGTGGCTTGGATTTCTGTCTGTTTAGTAGGTGTAACATTGCTGCTTGTTATAAAATGACACCACTACCTGCACACATGTATGACATGAGTACACCACAAAACCTACAGGACATAAAAAGTCTTTGAATGAGGAACAATGCAGGAATGCTAAATTTTACATTCCTAAATTTTTATCTTAAACTGCATAATCCTATATTATTTTAATATGTTTCAAAACCTGCACAGGCTGCTGTTACTTGTCCAGGAAACCAGAGACAGTGAGTATTTTTATAGAAACTAGGAAAATTAACACTGCAGCAGCAAACAGACCCCCTGCAGCCAAACCTGAGCTACCAGTGCTGCTCCTGCACAGAGAGGTAAGAGCAAAACCAGATGTACCATTTCAGCTCCTTTAGAGACATCAGTGCTTTCCAAGAGAAAACAAAATAAAGAAGAACATTTAGCATTTGATTTGTGTCCCATTAGAATGAAAATGAGCTAAGCAGGCTAATACACTATTAATTAGCATCTTATTAAGAGGTAGAAAGGCTGAAAATACAAATCCACAGCAGCATGAGTGAGACAAAGGCCGTGTTTTTCTGGTTCCAGGATTAGATTTGCACTCGCTTTTATTTTCTCAGCCATGTAGGCTTTTGTCTACAGGTCTGTGCATTATTATTGTTGTTCAAAGTACTCCAAAGCCAGGGAAGCTGTATTTTTATTTTTAATTAATTGGCAAGGTGACAAATCATGCAAGTGTCTGAAAAACTGCCTACAGGAAAATCCCATATGAAGCAAATAGAAATTATTCTCCCTTGGGAGACACAGTGAGACACCATTATTTTTGGCACAGGAGGAAAGCAGTACTTTAAAGTAGTCTTGCTTTGATTTATCAAAGCTGAAACTATAAGGAAGCTCAGAAAAGGACTTTTAAGCTTGAAATATTTTTTAAAAATCCCAGATGAGTGCAAATCCCACTTGATGAGGCAAAACCCAAGAACTGAATTAGCACTGACAGGACAAAAAGAAGACATGCCCCCCCACCTCAGCACAGTAGCTACACACATTTTTATGACTGCAGGAGGTAGGAGAGGTGCAGGGCAGCACACAGAGAAGTGGCCCCCTGACTGTGGAGTGCCAGGACATTGCTGCTGGTACAAGACAGGATGATTACACCCCCTGGGAAGGCATTAAACCAGGACAGGGTACATATATTGTATGCACAGACATGGCAAGGTTTGAAGAGCGCTACACAGATGGAGAACTACCTCTTAACATTCACCAGCCTGGGGAGTGGGAGAGCAGGAACCTCCCAGGAGCCATCAGAGTCTGACTGAGAAGGGACAGTGTGAGAAGCAAATAGGTCCCCCTGTATTTACAATTAAACATTCCACTGTGTATGCATCCAGGCTGCCAACACAAAACCTTTGTGTTCTACAAACCAAACTTCACCAGCATGTCTGGAGCTTAAAATTCCTCTCCTATAGTAGTCAACTATATCCTGGCTTGATTACTCTCCACACTTTTGTCCAAAGACAAAAACTCAGTGACACCAATTCTTTCCTCAGATGTCCTTGCTGTCCTCTTGCTCACTACTGAACCGAGTGTCAGATTCTTGTTCCTTCCCCCAGCCCTGTACAGCTCTGCCCCAGCTTGCCTTCTGCTTGTTTGCTATCACACATCTCCTGCCTCAGCAGGGCCAGGCTACATTTCCATGTTGAATGAGCATTCAGTCTGAGCTGCCTGGTGAGCATCAAAGTGACCAGTGATAAGCCACTCAATTGATCTGCACTTGTGTAGCAAGCCTGATCTTTCCAGAATGCCCCATATTTACTGTGCATGCACACACCCTTTGCATGATGCAGACAGAAGGGCTGAAGCTTTCCAGAAAGATTAAGTTGACAGCATATGTGCAATAACATTGATCTGCCCTTGTGTAGGCATGTTTAGGATTTTCTGATGTCTGGAAGCCTAGAAAAATAGATTAATAGAATGACACTTTCCCCAGATGAAAATGTAGGTAGAAAAACAGCCTGTCCCTATGGTAAGAGTCTGTCTTTCTCACTCCCTTTGGCACACTTCCTTCTGTGCCAAATGATCTGTCATGAGTGAGTATGACAGAGCCTTAGATACTGTTATCTGCAGATAACCTCTTTCTTACTGATTGCAGGTATCTGTGCTTTGTCACTCCCAGCAGAGTTTTTGGGATATTCTAACTTGACCACGGTCTCTCATTATTATGAGCATTTTGAGCTCTCATTTGAAAACCATCAAACACTACTCTTGAAGTCATTAGTGGGCTTATTCCAAATACAAATCTTTATTGTAATTATTCTGCTTCTGCATTCCTAAGTGGTGGCTCACTGTATATGGCCATGGCCTCCCTGAGAGCTGGGCAGCAGAGGCCAGCTTCCTAACAGGCTTCCCCCTGGCAAGATGCCCAGTGCTAAGTGCTCTCACCTGAAGGTCTTGACCAGTTTGTTTCTTGACATCTTGCAGCTGTTTCTGGAGTGCCTTTATCTCCTTCTTTCCTTTTTCCTCCCTGAGGTGGGAAAACACAATCACTTGAGTATATTAAGAAAGACAAGAGCTGTTTACCTAGAAGGGGAACTTCCTTCTCCTGATACACAGGAGAATAAGATAAACAGAGACTTCTCACCAAAACTACTGACTTGGTCAGTAAATCCTGAAAGAAGAGGTACACAGACTGAGCAAGGCAGATGGGAACAAAAGGGAAAACAAGTCAAAAAAAAACAGGGGATGCTCTTATTGAAGCCTGGAATGGATTTGAGGATGATGCAATTATTATAGTGGAGACAGAAGATACCTGTCATTGAGTCACAGTTTCTACATTTAGGCAAAAATGCCTGAGATTCTATGCAGAAGCAAGCCTGAGCAGCAAAGAGTGCCAAATTGTGTTATTATGTGTATGAGAATGTTGTTTCTTTCATATCAAACCTCAAATCTTTTAAAGAACACTGCCCCAGGTTCTGAGATCCATGAAGGGATCTGAGTGGAGACCAAAAGCTAGAGAAGTGTTCATCTGTCTAAAACAAAAGAGATGCAGTAAATATTCTAGGTATTATTATCTTATTTCACTCAGAGTGCTTCTGTAAGATTTTATGCTTATGATTAGTTTTAAAACCAGTAAATACTACAATTGGTCCCTGAAACTTTGTGTCCTATTCCAACCTTACAATCACACATGCATTTCATTTTCAGACTCCTTATCTCGGTGACTGATGAACAAAAGCTCCTGATAAGGAGTCTCCCATCATCTCACTGCAGATGGCTTTCAGAACAGTATTTACACAAAACCAGGCAAGTATTTATTATCTTGAAAGACAGATCAAGTTCATTCCGTTAAAAGAATGTATAGTACAACATGGCTGGATATGATTGACAGGAGGGGATAAGAAGTATTACATCCCTTCTGATTATAATTTGTCTGCTCTTTTCTACATTTCAGTATTGGATAGTTACTCCACAGCCAATTGCTAATCTCATTCTTGCTTTCTGTCCCTTCTATGGACAAACAATAAATCCCTTGGTTTTAGGCAGTGGAAGTGGAAGAGTTGGGTTTCATGCTTGAGTCACACATTGCACTGAAGCTGAGGATTTGCCCTGGAAGCAGATCCCTGAGTCACCATAAGAGCAGTTCCAGTAGGTTGGACTCCTGACAAATCATGACTGAGAGCAGCTTTGCTGTGCACCCTCAATGATGGGCCCGAGCTGCTACACTGAGGTAGCTTTAAAGTGGTCAAATATTTGTCTGATGACTGCAATTCTCTCTGACAGTTTTGGGATTGAATCAGAGGTTTGCATGCTAAAAAAAAAAAAAAAAAAAAAAAAAAAAAAAAGTTTGAGCTGGGAAATCACCAGTTTGAGCTGAGGTTGTAGCAAATGTGTACCCTGGAAGATTTGGGACAGAAGAGAATCACAGTGCAGTGGCTGGTGGATTAGCCTTAAATAAGACACCTCTGTCACCATCTGTGCTAACCCCTCACTGCTGCTGGGAAAAGGGAAAAGGGAGCTTATTAGCATAAACGTCAGAGCAGATTCTCCTGGGCATCAGACAGCCTAAAGGCCATATGTTGCTGGCCCTGATTGGAACAGATTCTCTGCTGCTCTGGCTTTCACTGGGGACAGAAGTTAAAGATCAAGGAGCTCCTGCATCACATTATGTTTTAATTGAAATGAGGCATTTGCACTAATTCAGCCACTGGTGTCCACCGTGGTCAAAGCTCAGGCAATTCCTAGCTCAGTTCAGTATCAGACCCATCCACTGATTCTTTCCAAAGGGGAAAACTTGCAGTTTGCAAAGCAAACAGAATAATTCAAGTTTTAAAAGGTAACCCTTCTGTATTTTAGTTTTATTGGGTTTTATTTCCTTTTCAGCATGTACTGAATGGGAATGGCTTTCAGCATTTAAACAGGGAAGAACTGAACACAACACTGACCTGATGAGGATGTCATAAAACTTGCCCTTTTTTGCCTTCTCTCTCTCATTAGCATCTGTTAGGCTACTAAATGTTCCCAATTCCTCCATCTTTTTAATAGTGACTGTAATTACATCACTTGCATACTGCCTGCCAGGAAGAAAAGGAACACAACAATACTTTACAGGTGCTGGTAGTACAGTGTTTGGTACTTTTATCCATTACTGTTTACAGTAAAATGTAGGGAAATAAAAGATCCCTTTTCTGGTCTTATGTCCTATCAAACCCAGGAGTGCCTCTCCCATGGTATCTGTTTATTGTACATCTGGAGAACTCAGTATTAGGAGCTGCTTGAAGTTTATAATTGAAAATGCTGCCCTGCATGCTACTCTGGGAAATTGCAAAGAGGCACAAACATGTTCATGCTGTGCCAGACTGTTGCCATTAAGAAGGCTGCTGGCCTGCAGTAGTGGTCTTGGAAAATGAGACCTGGCCATGCAATGGGCCATGCAATAAACTGGCTTCTCCAGTTTATTGAATGTCATGATCCATGTGGCTTTTACATTTTAGCTGCATTTTCCTCATTTGTGTTAGAATCCTCCTTAAACCCATTGTTGAAATGACATTAAATGACAGAAGCCAGGATGCAGAAAAATGCATACTGAGCATTCAGCTCCATAATCTCTTTAAACCAAAGGCTGCTGCTATTTCTGCAAATCAGGGCACTGGTTTAGATGCAGGAATAAAGTTTGTTTTAAAAGAGAAGGAAAATCTTTAGTCTTTACATACATTACCTTTCCTATAATGGCTGTAACTGCCACAGAAGCTCTGTGTGCTCTGCAGAATGACTGAGTTCAAAAACAAGGCTCAGATCTCCCTTTGCATGTGGGATCAGCTAGAGGAACCTGACTCCAGGTACCAGATCATGAGCACTGATTAGTGCCTGCCATGATTTCAACCCAGGCAACCATTATCAGTGGGGTGATGTTTTACAGCTCCATTCAAAATAAACTGCTGGTCATTAGCAGAAGCAAGCAAAGGCTGGAACTAAATGGTATATGAAGGATACTACTCCTATCCCTAGAGGAACTCCTTTCAGACAGAGACTGATGTACTCTGGCAGTGGGAGAGCAAGGAATTTGTATTTTTGCTTTCAAGAGATAGACTGAGAACTTTACAGCTCTGAGCATCCCTCACAGGTGCTTCACTCACCTGTCAGCATAAATTTTTTTGAGCTTCTCCAGAGCCCGAGTGATGTGTTTCTTGGGGCTTTTGGAAGAATGCTGGGTGCTTTTCTGATCTTCAGTTTTCCCCTGCTGCTGCTCATGTTCGGTGTTTTTTGTGGAGGTAACTGTTTCCCCACTCTTTGCTGATGTAAGCTCTGGGAAGTTAATACCCAGCTCCTCCTGAATCATTTCTTTTGTTTGCTGGATGGAAATGAAAGAGGATAAGGGAAATAAGAGAATAAGGGAAGAGGGAAAAGGTAATAAGAGAGACCTGCTTGCAAATTGCACAGCAGAACTAAACCCTCTGCAACATTATGTGATAGGAAGGAAAATCAGTAATTAACTAGAATGAAGCTATACTGAGAACAGCTGCATGTTACATTTTGCAAAGAGTGGAAGATCAGAAACATTTATGTTGGTTAGTTTTGAGCACACAGGGTAGCTCACTGAAGTTTATGGGCTCAGAAGTCCTAAAATGACTGGACTAGAAAAGGCCTAAAAAGGTGAATTCATCCACTCCAAGAGATGTTCAGACTGTTCTTAATCTGACATGTTCTTAATGGCCTCCAGCACTGGAGACTACACATCCTCCTGTCAATGCCAGCACATCACAATTTTCTTTACCATAAGAAAAGTTTTTTCTCCTCAGCAGTATTTGAGATCCTGGCTTGTTGTCCTAGTCTCTAGGCACAGAGAACAAATCCTTCCCTCCTTTTTTGCAGCAGTTTTTACAAACTGGAAGACTGTTAGCCTGTTTCTCCTCCTCCTTCTCTCCATCTTAGACATTTCCCACTGCCTGTCATCACAACCTTTCCCTACAATATAATTGTAACTAGAGTTGGGTGGAAATATCTGCAATAGACTTTCTGTCTGCTATCTGCTTAGCAGGTTTTTTGAGAGAGTAACAGCAGAGGAAATATAACATGAATTCAGTGGATAAATTCAAAATATTGGCAAATCTCTCCTTCGTGGAAAGGTATCTTGTGATTGAGTACAATTTCATTAAAAAAGGAAAAGCCCACAAAAATGCAAAAGCACACTATAAAATCAGCTAAGCTCTTGCTTCTAGGAAATTCTCTGCCTTATGTGTTATGGATAAAATGCAGGTGTATACACTGGGACATTAAAAGAGAACATTTTCTTGCTTGCCTACCAGCATTCTGTGGCTGAACACTTCATAACAGCACTGCTGACTGCAGCTAACACAGTCTCTGCCAGCCCCATCCCTGTCCACAGCTGCCTGCTCCCCAGCCCGGCTGCTTGGGGAAGCAGACAGAGAACTCACTGTGATGAAACATTTTCCAGCGAAAAGGAAAAAAAAAAAAAAAAAAAAGTTATTTTTAGCAGCACTAGTTCTCAGTCCAGATCCTTCCACAACCACACACACATTTGTGCCAGCAGAGCAGAGAAAACAAGTGGTCAGGGGAGCAGCTGTGGATGCCAGGAGTACTTCCAAAAAGTTACTTGTCAGGCAAATCAAGCAAGGCTCTGTCAGAGGTCGGAGGTGCTGCTGCAGTCTGAGAGGGCACTGCAAGGGACTGCTTCATGCTGAGTGGTTTGGACAGCTCTGGGATGGGATGGATCAGCCTCTGGCAGTGCCTGACTCATCTGTGACTAGAGAAGGAGGCTAAGTGACTATGTGCTTAATTTTTGGACTGTTAAATTTACATTAAATGAATCATATACAAAACATATACTGTCCAATGAAAATTGCATTGTTAATTAGTTTAAAAAGGCCTTAAATAGCTGGTTGGTGACAACTGTACTTCAGAAAGAACTAATTTTGCAAACAAACTGCTTTAATATAATGTAGGTTTTATGAATGTTCTGATATATTTTTTTAATGTCTGGGAAAGTTCAAGACAGGCAATAACTGGGTTGTCTGTAAACAGTAGGTACTTACACACTAATAATCAACAAATAACTACGTAAAAGCAAGAAGTTTGTATACTGCATGTGTTACCATCTGTGTAGTCTCCTAATTGCTTGTCTGTTGCCCAAAATTCAGCAAATAGAAAGGCTGCCTCCCTCTGGGGCGTGCACTGTGTGAAGAAACATGCAAGAGCATCCAATCTGGAACATCAGTGAGGTGCTGGCCAACACTGTGATTAATCCTCTCAAAATGTCATCAACTGAAATTTAGATGTCAGTCTTTGAAGATGCCATTGATTTGTCTGCCTGATAGAACTCCAGGGTACTTTGCAAATACAGATCTTCTACAAATACAATGAAAACAGCCAAATGTAAACTGAGAAACAGGGAGGAGTAGCAAATTACAGAGCACCAAATTTAGCAAGTAGCTTCCCTAAGCCATTTTCTTGTTTCTAAATTGTTTCCTCCTCAAATTGTTTTGACATCTTTAAGAACACAAGCAGGGTTTGTAACCTGTGAGAAAATTGTGTTCTAAGAAGTGACTTGGTGAAAATGAGCATCTGTGATTGAAGAGAAAGGCAAAGGTATTTTCTCTGTAATTTACGTGTGCCTTCAGTAGATCTATCAAGCTCAGTCTGTGTGTCTGAAGAGGACAACTCCTGCTGTCCCAGAGATATGAGATAAGCTCTTTGTGTTTTGCTGCTGGCACATAAGAGAGGGAGAAGCATCCTCTGGGAGCAGTGGAGGCCGGCTCCCAGGAGTCTTTCAGGGGAGCAGTGCCCTCTATGGCACAGTCTCAGCATCGTTCCCGCCCGGAATTTCACTCTAACTCCAGCTGCTGCTGCGGCTTTGCCCTGGGTTTTTTGAAAAGGTAATATGGAAAGAAAGCACGTAAAAAAATTTGATTTAACTTCCTCTGGCATTCTTAAGACAGACTGAATATCATTAGATGTCAAAACTCAGATCCCGGTTTTTATTTCCATCCTGGCTGTGAACTTTTTTCTTGAGTTCATCTTAAAAGGTTTCCAGCCTGCTAGAACTGGAAAGAGCCTGCTGTGTCACTTATAGACCACAGTACTTAGAGCCATTTGCCCCTCAGGATGGTCCCATCCTGATTCCTATGTCTAACAGCTACCAGAAATGTCAGAACACCTTCCTCCACAGCAACAAACCCCTGCCTGAGCATTAGGGATTCTCTGTTCTCCATATCTCTGCCCAACCATCTTAGCTATGATTCCAATTAGAAATCAACTAGTAATTAATGATCACTGAGAAAGGGTAGTTACTACTATATTTTGAAGTGCATCTTTCTTAATGCATTGTGGGAACAAAAGGATCTTTGGCATGGACCTGGAGAGGAATAGAATTAACCTGGTTTTGAGTACTTTGAAATAACCTATACGTTTCTACTTTTAAAATAGCTCTGTATCTACAGAAGAAACTACAAATGTTTTGCTTCCTTTTCCCCAATTCTTTGCTCGTTGTCTAACCACTGAAATTTTAAAATTATAATCTTAGGAACCTCATCTTGGATCAGAAGAGTCCTCTGCACAAATTCTTGACCAACATTTCTCAGTGATGATGCAATAAAAATATTTAAATTAGGTCACTTTTATTGTGTTTCTTCACCCAAGAGTCACAGAATGACAGAAAATATATTTAACTTTTAAAAAATGCTGGTAAAAGATATAAAACCAAGACAAAGACAAAAAAATTATATACATCTTTTTAAGCAGTGGCACATACATGGTTGATGTCTGTCTTGTCCTTATGTGGAACTGGCATGATATATCCAAGAATTGTAAGTTGATCCACACAGCTCTCCAGCACAGCACTAAACATCAGAGCTTCCAGATGAGTGATTTTTTCCATTTGTTTAGTCTCTGTGTTCTTGCTAGGAGGAACAAAGATAAAAGATACCAATCAGAAAAATGCTGTGATGCTAGTAATGTCAGTAACAGTAGTTTAAACTAAAGGTAGACCCAAAATAGCCTTCTTTGCAGCCTTACATATACTTCCCTGGCTTTGTTTATAACTTTCCATACACTGTTTATAAGAGGAGCTGTGCTCTGCTAATGGCTGCATTCAGGGACAGTGGGAATGTTTAGCTTTCACAACACAAAGAGGTCCTGGTCCCTCCTACAGCAGGTCTGGGCAGAAAGGCTGAGAAGGGGATGGGCATGGAGGGCACAGACTGGGTGAGGTGCCTCATTACTCAGGTCAGGGGGGAGCAGTGCTTCATAGAGGACTTTGGGAAAGGACAGAAGAAAGGTGCTTTTCTAAAAGAAAAAAATAAATCCACATCCTATAAAGGATGTGAGGGTGAACCTTCATGCTCTAAACATTCCTCAGTATTACTGTGTAACCTTCACACTTCTATGTTCCCAGTCCCCTCTCAGCAGGAGCTGTTACCATCTTAACATGCTGAAAGTTAAACAAGAACCAATGCCAGGACTGAGTAAACAATCTTTAACTTTCTGTTTATTTTATTTTAACTTGCAATTCAAACATGAAACTGCTCTGACATACACTTAAGCACCCCTTTGCCTTGCCTACAGATAGAATATTGTAAAAGCATATATAATGAAAAGTGAAAATTCACTATTAATCAAAAAATACCTAAGAAAACACCTGCACAACAGTGGGAAAATTCTCTGAGAATTGTAATGTTTTGATATGCCATTGGACAATCCCTCCAAAGCCTCTACATACAAACCAGGTATTTCTTGTACAACACATAGCACAGCTGCAGTCTGAGATGGCTGAGATCCTGAGTGTCATTGCAATGGAAGTAACAACAGCCATCAACAAAATCTTCATTTGGCTGCTCTACCTACAGCTGGATTTGTGCCATCTGTAAAACCCTTGCATAAACATATCCTAAGCCTGCAAAATATTACAGCCCAACCATTAAGCATGCCAAGGAAACACATCAGGCAGTCCCTGTAGCACAGGACATGGCCATATTCCATGAAAATTAAAGAGGTTTTGATGCAGCTTTGCTCTGCATCACTGGAAATCAGTGATATTTAATAAACAAGTGTTTAAAAAGATTCATACTTGCTATGAATCTCTGCAGCAGTTATCATTTGTCCTCCTCCTTTTTTGTTGGTTTTTTTTTGAAGAAAATATGTAATTTACAGGTGGACCACGAAGTTAATTTCACTTGGCAGAAAAGAAGAGCCACTCTTCAGTTCAGGTTTATTTGATGTCTGTTGGTACAGAACAGGTAAAACAAACAAAAGATTCAAACTCAAAACAAACTCAGATTTCACACACTTATTTCCTGATGTCCCTGTCTGTTGCAGGAAGTTGTTTAATGCAACACATGTTGAAATGTGCTGGAAGAGGACACGGCTCTCCCTGGGGATGAGATTAGTAAGTGTGCACAGGGATTGCTCTCAGTCCATGGATTGCTCTCTAAATCCATAGCAAGGGCAGATTCCAGGGACAGACAGAGGTATTTAAGTTAAAGGATAATACTGCTCTGGGTAGAAGGAGAGTAAATTCCCCCAAGCCAGGCACTTTTGATAAGGTTTCTAACTCCTGAATGGATGAAGATACAAACAGCCTTTCAGCCAAGGTAATGGTAGAGGCACCCTGATTTATTTCAAGAAGCTTCTTTAAATCATAGCAGGAAAAGGTAACACAAAGTAGTGACTCTGAATATTTCAATATGTTCACTGTACTTGTATTGTTTGTACCCACTTACATCTAATTTCTCTGAGCAGGGCTTTTGATGGTCACCTAGGACAAAGAAGGAAGTGATTTTATCCCTTTGCTTCTGAGATTTTTTTCATCTCTTTTATCTTAATTATAAAAAAAAATGTATCAACTTGAGATAGGAATCTGATAAAAGAGTCAACAAAAAAAAAAGGCAAATGATCTGTATAATACATTAAACCCATCACTTTTCTTGTCAACCTTGGAATCAATTACAGAAGTGGAGATGCAGTATTTTTACCTCAAGAAAGTCAGGCAATATTTTTCAATGTTTTACTCATTTTTATCTTTTTCAGAAATCCATGATCCATATTTTGAGTCTAAACAACCTAAGAATAATCTATTACATTTGGAGTCATAATGCTAAAAATATGGTGAAAAAAGATGTGTTGGGAGATAGCTGTGACAGATGATTACAGCAGCATTTTTGGAAGAAAAAATAACACATGCAGCTCTTACAGGAAAAAGGGACTTATTTAGAAACAAAGGAGGATGCAGCAGCTTTTCCTCTTTTCCATCAGCAGCTTCTGACCAGGAGAGAATTAACTCAGGATATTAATATGTTTAAGACAGCTGGCAGCTGGAATGTTTCTCTAAAGGCTTTGCTGCTTTGCTCCTCCTGTGTATCTTCCCTTACATCCAGATCCTTGCTCAGCAGATCCATGTGCCAAGCCAGTATGTTAAGCTGGACTTGAGAAGGAAACCACTGTGTGGGGCATTAGCAAACCCTACAGATATGAGCTGCTTGCTCTGGATTTTAGTGTCAACACTAAATTGGCATCCACTGGCATCACCCTGCATTGCTGTGTTTGCTGAATCCCTCATTCAACTCTATTAATATTTTTTTTTTAAGTATTCCCCCGTGAGTTTTGGATGACATTCTTTCCCTGCTGATATAAAGGGAAAGAAAAACATATCAAGTAATAATTTTTAAAGCAACTGTATAAAAGGTCTGGCCTCCTGTTCCTTTGGGGATTGCAACTCCCTGTGCTGTGTGAGAGTCCTGAATGTACATTTCTCCCACCCTGCTGCCTGATAAAGGAAAACACATTCAAGAGCAGCATTTTGTGCAACATTTCTTGTAGTCAAGAGAAGACACTCCAGTGAATCCCAGTGAGCAAATGCATAGCTGAGAATGTCACATCTCCTTGAGATCTCTTTGGCAAATGACTGGCAAAGAGAGGTTCTGAACATCCAGAGGAGCAGCAGCTGAGCCAGAAACCACAAGTAACTTCATTTAAGTAACAAGTAACTGTGCCAACGACAGGTCTCTTGGAAAGCAAAATAGGTGTGGCCTTACCTTACACAGCTCTGCCTCCTGCCAGAAATATCAGGACAGCAAGATGCTCTTTTTGGAAAAAAAATAAGGGGGGGAGGAAGGGCAAGGAAAGGAGAGGAAATAGAGAGGAAGGGAAAGAAAGGGATGGAAAGAGAAGGAAAGGGAAAGGGAGAGGGAAAGGGATCATCAAGGTTCCTCATGATTTCCCTTCACCTTCCTTCCCTTGAATCACTTCAAGTGCTCTGAAAATGCACCTGAATTTCTGGCAGCGTGAGGGAAGTGACAGAAATCGGGAGTGAACAACCCTGACGTGAGCAAATGGGTAAGTACACGCTTCCAGACCTTATTTAGGAAAATAAAGGAATGTGAGACTTGGTAAGAGGGATTTCAGAGTCGAAATATGTTTTCTGCCTCCAAGGCGATATCAGAAGTAAAATAAATGTCGAGATGATTCACTGGCTCAGGGTGAGAACATCGGACGACGGGCAGGGCCCGGAGCCCGCCCCGAACACCAAGGGCCGCTCTCTCCCCCGCGCTGCCTCTCTTCGGGCCCCTCGGCTCGTTCCACCGCCGCGGCCCGTTTTCAATCGCCCTGCCAAGACCGGCCCGCGCTCCCCTCAGCCTCTCACCGGGATCTGCCCTCATTTCCCCCGCTCCCGGTCCCGCCCTCACCGGGATGCGCCGCCCGTCTCCATGGCAACCACCACGCTTGGGGGCCTCGCGGGGCTGCCCGGCGGGTGCCTGAGCAGCGGGGCTGGGGCCGCCCCTCCCGGGATTTCTCTTGCCGGGATCGTCCCCGGAGCACGCGGGCACGGGACACGGGACACGGGACGGGCGGTGCCTTCCTCAACTCCGTGCTGCTCACTCCGGCAGCGCTCGGGCCGCCCGCTCGGGTCCTGGCGGCGCGTTTCCCGGCAGGCCGCGCGGGGCGGGTCTCTTTCGCCGCCATCTTGGGGCGCTGCGGGTGAGGCGGAGCGGGGCCGCGGGCCGGGAGCGGGGCCGGGGGGCGCTGCCCCCGCTGTGGGGCCGCCGGCGGGCGCGGGGCTCCCGGGGCGCGGCGAATGGCGCGGTCCGGGGCGGGAACAAGGCGAGATGGCGCCGATGCGCGGCGGATGGTCCCAGTCGCGGGTTGGGGCCTTCGCCTGGAGCGGGGCTGAGGCGGCTGCTCTGGGGGGGAGCGGAGGCTCCCGGAGCTCTGGGTGGCTCCCGGGCAGCCCCCGGGTGTTTGGGGTCCCGCTCGCCGGGCCGGATGGAGGTGCTGGCCCGAGGCTCATGGCTGTGTGTCGTTTCCAGGCCTGCCGGGACCGGGTCTGCGGGAGGACACCATGACCGGGAGGTGAGTGAGTGCCCGAGTAGCCCTCGGCTCGGGGCTGCTGAGCGGCTCCCGAGAGCGTTTGAGTGAGCGGTGTGCTCTGCCCCGTGTCCTGCTGGGCCCTGCTCAGCGCCCGCAGCTCTGTGTCCCTGTTGTGAAGTCTCTGAGCTGCTTGGAGTTGCTGTTACGATGTGCCACGCTGTGCCTGGCCTGTCGGTGAATATCGCTGTGAAAGTTATGGGTTTGTTAATCTCCAGCGTTCGGTGGAGTTTTGGCGTAGAATGTTTACTTGAGTAAAGGGAGCAACTGTTTTTCCCATGGGTAAATTTTCTATTGTGACACCGAATTTTCTTGAAGGATGGGATTGATTTCTAACGTGATTCTGTTATGATGACTTTAGTGGGCAGTGCCTGAAGAATTGTTGGGGAGTTTGTGCAGCGTCTGTGTCCAGGGGATGTCAGGCTGTTGCTCAGGCTTTAACTCCTTTGAGGGTACAAATCGGGGGCAGCTCACGCCTTCTGTAGCAGTTACTGAACGCAGGTGGTGTGTAGGAACAAAGCAATGTTTACTCATCAGTGTTAGTAGACATTTGGAAACAGTATCTGCCAATGCTGAAGCATTTGAAATTTAGTATGAAGCCAGTATTGTAGCGCCAGGACTTTATGACAAGCAGAAAATACAGTGTTCTCATAAACACTTCATGTTCCACATGCTCAGCTTTCATTGAATGTAAGTATTCGCAGTGATTTGTAAACGTCAGCTGTTTGCTGATTTCTGCCGGTGTGGAATTAGTCTCTGCTGAAACAGCCTGTGATTTGTTTTTATTTTTGTTACTTTGGAGTGAATTGTAATTTGCAGATGTTCTCCATGTCTTTAGGCTGTGGTGCAAGGCCATTTTTGCTGGCTACAAACGTGGCCTCCGAAACCAGCGGGAGCACACGGCCCTGCTGAAAATTGAAGGTGTTTATGCCCGTCAGGAGACAGACTTCTACCTGGGCAAGAGGTGTGCCTATGTGTACAAAGCTAAAAAGTAAGTAATGTTTTATTCTTGTGCTGAATTAGCCAAGTCCTGTATTGGTTTTGTAAATGCTAGGAGATAATGGTATTATATGATGTGTTAGAGAGCAAGTGGGATGAGAAAGAAGTTTTGCCTAAGATTGACAAAAACTGAAGGTGGGTTGATGGAGTAAATCGAGGTGGGTGAATTTGTGTTTAATACTTTGAACTGTTGAGTTACTTAAACAGTAAAGTGATTCTGTGAAGCCTGGATGAATTTGTATTCTGACTTTCATGTGCCCATGTCACTTCTGCTCTGCTGCCATTGGTAGACACCTTGGGAACAGCTGCTTATTATTTCCACTTCCTTTTTTTTCTTGAGTGCCTTTCGTGTGCCCATGTCTGTCACCTCTGCTCTGCTGCCATTGGTAGATACCTTGGGAACAGCTGCTTATTATTTCCACTTCCTTTTTTTTCTTGAGTGCTGTTAGAGTTCAGAATTACCTTGAATAAAATTGATCAGACTGGTAACTTGACCACCATCATTTCCAGCATGGCACATGGCTCCTCATTTAAGGCACTTTCTGCCGTCTATACCAATGGCCTGTTCTTCTCCTGCCTTCAGTGTGTCTGGAGAAATAACATGTTAGCAATTTTTAACAATTTTTAAGTTTCATCCTATTAGCAAAAGTGTTTTTCCAAATTTTTGAGCTTTGTAAGCTGTTAATAGTTGTCTGGTGGAACTTCTGATAAATTACAAGCTGTAATTACGCCTTTGAAAGGTACAGTGAAAATCCCAGGCAGGAAAGTTTCACAAGTAAATAAAAGTGTAGCCGTTGCTCTAGTTAAAGATGGCTAAATTACTGAGGTGCCTTAGAGAGACCACATTGTCACTGCTGGTGACAGCAGAGGTGTGACTGCCCTGCTGAGCTGTTCTTTGCCTCCTTTTCCCCAGCAACACGGTAACCCCCGGAGGCAAACCCAACAGGACGCGCGTGATCTGGGGCAAGGTGACGCGCGCCCACGGCAACAGCGGCATGGTGCGTGCCAAGTTCCGCTCCAACCTTCCTGCCAAGGCCATTGGACACAGAATCCGGGTGGTAAGTGGATGTGGTTTAGCAGCAAGATACTCGTTGGCAGTTTTTGGGGTGCCTTTTAATTCCACATAGTATGGGGCAACATTGGAACTCTGGTTTTGTTCTGTTGCTGTTGGGTGTTCATCGTGGCTCAGTGACTGTTTTGGAGGCTAGAGCGGCTTTTTCCTGGCTTCCTGTGCTGAGGGGGTTTGTCTCTTTGTCAGGGCTTTGTGTGCTTGCTCAGGTTGTCTGGAAAGGCTCTTCAAGTTCCAGGACTCAGCTTCTTTCTAAAGCTGCCTTGATTTCTTTTCCACCAATCTGTTCTGTATATTTTTGCACCCTTCTACTCCTCTACCTGTTTGATTTTTCTCTTACCTGTCAAATGTTTTAACTGAGGCAGTGCTGTCCTGTCATAGCCACTCCCACCTGTTCCCATTGTTGGCATTTTAGCCACAGGGCTTCAGTGGGACTGTCCTTTTAGGTGTGTCACCCAGAGTTGTGATGTAATATTTTCATAGTGATGTTGTCAAAAGGAGTACGAGGGGTGCAGTCCTTCCTTTCTTTCTCCTTCTCCGGTGCCTTAGAAAAAGCACAGTAGGAGCAGCACAGATAATTCCTGAAATCCAGAGCCATGGGAACTCCTGCTGGTGCACAGGAGGGCTGGCTGCCACAGTCTGTGCCATCAGCAAAGTGCTCCTGCGAGTCGTTCTGACACTCTTCTGTATAAACTGGGATTGCTTTTATAGCAGTTGAAGAGATTCATGGTCTAGATTGTAACTGCAGAACTTGTGTTTAAATACAAGATTTCTAACGTGATTCTGTCTGGTTTTGTGTTTTACAGATGCTGTATCCATCTAGGATCTAAATTTTTATTCAAAATAAAATGGAGAATCTGTTTAACTTTTGTATATTTCTGGTTTTATTGCCTCCACCAATTTTGGGAGACCTCTTTCTCAGTAGTGTATCAGAGTTGACAGCACAGATGAAGACACTAAATCCTGGCATCTGCAAATCCTCTCTCAACATCTCACAGTAGTAGTTCTGGTAGAATCCCTGATCATGAGCCCACATGTTCCTGGGCAGCACATGTGCCTGTAGTGTCTGCTTTGTGTAAATAATGTAAACACATTTTCATTGCATGGCTCTGTGGTGCCCAAATGTTAACGCTGTTTTCTTGGCCAACCTTATCCCAGCATGTCATGTGGGGCAGTGAGCATCTTCTCAGCACTTCTGTAGTTCTTTTAGTTTTGCTGAACAATAAGGTGGTGAAAAATGAATTTAGAGTCATGAAGTGCAAGGCTCAGTTTCTTATCTCTGAAAATCCCCCCAAAATACTGGGTAGTTGAAAGGGAGCTTTGAGGCAGGTACAGGTTGTCATGGTTGCTGCTGATGTCACAGTCCCAAAATGACCTGTGCATACCCTCTGAGAGCAGTTCCACGTACACCAAGTAGTTCCATCATTTTCAATGCATCCCTAGTCGGTCAGGCAGGTGAGTCTGTTGGCTCAACCACACTTTGAGCCCACTCCAGTGCAGTCCCTCCTTCCCAGGGCATGAGAGCTTCCTTCTCCCTGCCTGGCCCTGCTGCCAGTGTGTGTCATGGAGCCCTCTGAGCTGTTGGCTTTGCAGATCTCCTGCAGTGGGCTGGTATTTCACAGCTAATCCTCTTCCTTCTGAAAGAGGTGGAGTAGTTGTGTGTGCAGAATACATTATTGGGTAAATCAAAATTTTACTTGAACCAACTACTCAGCTCTGATCTAGAAATTATTTTGCTGGACTTAAAAAGACCTAAGCCTGCTGCCAATGCTGTCCTTCACAGCAGGAGAGCCTTTGCTATGGAAAACTGCATTTTTTCAACATACATAGAGAAAATTGCAGCATATGTGATATTTGGCAAGGCCAGGTAGGGCTTTTAGTCTTCCACTAAACTACTAGTAGGTTGGACCTGTTGGTTTCAAAGAAGGATGAATGGGATTTCCAGGTTTAAGCATTACAGAGGAAGGAGGAGGAAATGTAATGAGCAAAGTGAGCTGTAACAACAGGTTTGTAGGCTTGTGCTCGCTATCATATAGTTGGGTTTTGCTGATGAGAAGGTAGCTAAGTCCTGAGTTTGATACAAGATACCCAAAAACACATAGCCATCCCTTCTCTTTCCCTGGTCACTTCTTTCTATTGTACCAGACTGCCAAGGTACAAAGCCTTTTCCTGGGAGGTCCAACCCCAAAAATCACATAGACAATGCAATTTGTGAATCTTTGCATCAAAACTGCTATTTTCACATTCATTTGGTCCCACCCAGCCCAGCATTGGCTGCTCAGAGCAGCAGTGTTGCCTGTTTTGAGCCTGTGGCGTGCAATTGCCTTTGCTACTTCCACTCCTTTCCCCAGCAGCACAGTAAACAGACGTGTGACAGGAAGCTATGGCATCAAAGGAGCCGGCCTCTTTGGTGGACAGAACCACCTGGGATTTCCTCAACCTGCTGGACATGCTGGGGAGCCGGAACGGACGGGTAGGGGTGATGGAGGTGGACCATGCTGAGTCAAGAGCTCCCTCATTGCTGGTGGATTTTACCCGGGACCTGTGTGGCACAGGGGACATCAAGCACAAACCACAGCAGGCAGAGAATGAGGGAAAGGAGGAGGAAGACCTGGTTCCCCCACATCTGATTTTTATGCTATGGCAAGCCAGTGTGTTGAAAAGGCTCATGCAGTGGGATCACCTGGAGGAAGCTGTCCGGGATGTGAGGAGCCTCCTCCCCTGCCTGCCGCATGTGCTGGTGCTTGTGATGATCCGCCCTGACTCCCAGGAGCAGCTGGACCAGGCGGTGAGAGCGCTGAGGAGAATGCAGTGTGTGCTGGATGGGGCCCTGCAACTGACTGTAGAGACTGCAATTTACAGCCCAGGCCAGCCAGGAGGTGTCCTGGAGGCAAAGAGAGCTGCCTGTAGGGCACTGAGAGAAGCCTTGAACTGCCATGAAGGTAACTGGGTAACACAGCTAGACACGGGGGTGAGGGACACAAAAACAAGCTCAGGGCAGAGCCTGAGGGACAGTGTAGATGGAAGTGGTGCTTGTTGACTGGATTCAGATGCAAGAGGGAAGACAAGCTGGACCTTGCAGGCAATGAGAGCCAGAAATGAGAATGAGGGTTTACATGCTGGGATGGGGATGGACTATGTGTCCAAGCTAAGTGTTTCCTCTTCCAAGTCAGATAGTGTTGGGTCTACCTTGCCCCAAAACACACATGGCAGTGGAAATGCTGCTCACTGTAAGAGCTGCAGTTCTGACTCCCTGCTGGAGCTTTCTGTGATGATGTTAACTGCTCCACAGCCTCTAACTAACTAACCCTGAGTTCATCGGAGGGATGTGCCAACCTTTTTTGGGTGGTCATAGGCCTTAGCTTTGCAAGGATGGTGTCAGATGTTCTTTATCATTTGTGTTTCTTCCCCTAGAAGTCGACTCCCAGGAGCCATTTGTTATTTCACTCCCAGAGCTCAGATACTGCCGAGTTCTGCCTGAACGTAGGCAAGAGAAAGTATCAAAGACAGATGGAGAATGAATTCCTTGGGCAGCCAAATCTGTCAGGTTGGTTTTAGCACTGTCCTGCTGGATGTCCCTTTGCAGAACACTTCCTTCCTGCTGACTTGTTTGTCTGCCTAGACCTTCTGTATGGATGAGATTCGGTGCATGGCTGCTGCCAGAAGGGGACAGTGCGCCCTCAGCATTGCACTGTCCTTGCCAAAAGCTCAGAGTTCCTTGCTGCATTGGCTGAACAATCTGCCCCGGGACATTTTTTATCAAAACTCACTGGGTTTGTGCTTTGCATTAAATGCCTTGCTTGATTATCAAAATATCCCTAGGAAACCTGTCCCTAAGGAAACTGTCAGCAGAAAGGGAATCAGAGCAGGCCAGAAGCCTCTAAATTTTAAACTGTCCCAAAACTGAAATAGTGAGAGAAACTCAAGACTAAGACCTCAGACTGTGTTTTCACAGGAGAACCTGGGTGCAGGAATCTTTGGTACATGGTTCTCATCAGGAACAAAGTTCCTGAAACTCTCCAGGGTTCTCTGTAGCAAGGAGTTGACCTTACATACAAGCGGGTACACATCCAGCAGATTGAGTTTCTGGGATGGGTAATTTTGGATGGGAGGGACTGTGGGAGCAGTGGAATATTTTTAAATCCAATTACCCACTTAATAGCTGAACTCATTTCCCATCCTCTCTGGGCATGGCAAAGCACTATAGGTAGCTGCACTTTTTTGCATTAGGAGTTTATATGTATTTTTTCTCTGGTGTTTTTTGTAGATCTTTTGTCATCCTAAGATCTTCATTATCATCAAAAAAAGGATTAAACACCTGATATTTATCTCATTTCTCTGTGTCTGTGTGTATCTATAAGCTTCAAAGCTTTTATCTAAGACTGCAAAACTTGCTGAAGCTGCAGGTTTGTGCAGTATGGTACAGAAGGGGGGGATTTGAGGGCAGTGCAGATCCTGTAACCCAATGTTTGTCAGAGAAAGGATTCTTCAGGTTATTTTTCAAATTCAGATTCTTTCTAGATCCTTAAGGATGTGGCTTTATGAGGCAAAACAACCTTGCTATAAGTGTTTGGGTAGTGCTGGTGCTTGGCAGACTTTTGGAATGAGGTGACCCAGTTGTTCTGTTGTGGAAGAGACTTTCCATGAGCATTTCCACAAGATGAATTCTGCTTTTCATTACGGAGGACTGGTTTTTGGTCAAGCTAATGAAGAAATAGTTCCCTTGAGTCAAAGCAAGACATGTACATGTTCAGGCTGTTCGTGAGTAAAGAAAGTTTGGCTTTAAAAGATCAGCATATTAGGACACCTTTAAAGCAAGAAGTCACAACGAGGTCCTGCATCTCTATTATTTCCTGTAGCATCTGAAACACACAGATAAACCACCCAAATCCAGGCATAGTCCATGCAGCTCTCAAGTTTTTCCTCTGGCAGCATGTGTGTACTTTGTCCAGGCACTTCTGTGCAGGCTGATGTGGGGCACTGTCAAGATGAAAGGGGGAAAAATCTCTGAGATGTGGCTGAAATCCTGACCTGAGCTTGGGAGCACAGGAATGCCCTGCAAGGGCAAGTGATAGAGCCACAGGAATGTGTGGATGGGACAACAAGGAGTGGTCACCCGCAGAGCTGAGGAGGACAGGAGGCAGAAGGCCATCCATGGGTGCTCTCAAGCTGCACCCTTGCTGCAGTCTCCACCTAATCCTGGGTGGATACAGAGAAATCTTAGATTGAAGAAGAGAAGGGCCTTCTTAGAGAAGGACCCCTTTGTGGCCTCTTTCAGGGCTGGCAAACCAGGCAGATCCACACTGACCTGCTCTGCTCATTCCAGTAACTCAAGGGATGCTATGGATCTGCCCTTTGCCTTATAAAAGGAAGCAGTTCTGAGAACCTGGGAGCCTGGCCATGCCAACAAGGGGCTTTGTGAGAAGGGAGTAGGAGAATGCACAAGGCGGGGCTAGGGAGGCAGGAGGGACTGTGTTTCCCAGCTATTGCCCCCCATCTTGGTGAGGTCTGAGGTGATTTTTAAGAGGTGCTGCAAAAGGTAAGTGCAGAAAAGCTGGACTGTTGGTGTTGAAGGCATGTGTGTACTGGAAAATAATGGAGACTCGTGGCTGTGAACAGGTACTCTTGGGTCCTGTTTTCAAACCAAAGGCAAGGATCCAGCTGAGGACAGCCAGAAAAAAGACCAGAAGAGGCAGCTTGGTCCTTGGGTCTGATTTCATATTCATTGCCACTTCTTTAACATCTTCCAGTGGAGGATTCAAGAGTGGAATAGGCTGATAGGCTGGCTCCATCTGTCTCTAAGAGGGCAGGGAAGGACATCCCTCTTATTGTGTGACCTGGACTGACCAACACTTTGGGCTCTCTGCACATGGCCCTGTGCCAGGTTTCCATCCTCCTCTTCAGCCATACCTTCCTCTGCCCCTCTGCCATCCAGACAGGGATGGTGACTCATGGAAACATGAGGAAACAGGACAACTGCAGAGATGGGCAACTTTTAGACGGAACAGAATTTTGGAGAAAAGAGACAAGAAAAAATTTTGAGGTTCCCCATCAGGAAGCCAGGCTGTGTCCCAGAAGTGGAGTGCCAGGGACTTCCCAACTTTATTTGCTTATGGTGTGTAACCTCCCCGAAGTGGAGCCCAGAGGGCTGTGATGACTTGGATGGATCCAGGCCAGGGCTGAGCTGGCACAGGCTGCCTTGGGACCAAAAGTGGGGCTGCCTCAGCTGGCCCTGGAGGTGGCTGGATCTGGGGCAAGGGGACCTGGGTCAGAACAGTGTGACCATCCAGTTTGGATTTGGTTGTGACTGAACTCATCACAGAAAGAGTTCGTGTCTGGTTTGATACAAAGTTCAAGCTCCAGTGGGTGAAAACTGGGAAGGTGTTTGGCTTCAGGGGCCAGAAAGATTGAGAGGATGTTGGGGAAGGTCAGTGGAGGAAACAGGAAGAGCCATGGAGGAGTGAACAGGAGGGAGGCTAGAAGGGAATCAGTGAGACTGGGATGTTGGGGGCAGGAGTGGGGTTTGGGGTATTTTCTTCTCACACAATTACCTCCTCTGCTACTTCTTTGGGCAACTCAAGGAGTCACCATGGGTGAAGAGCTCAGTGAGTGCTGGTGCCCTTCAGCAACGCCCTGGAAACAGCTGGTAGTGCTACACAGGTAAAGCACATGCTTTCCAGCATCTAGTAAGGATGTGTTTTTCAAAGTAATAATTGAAGCAAGTTTGGAGAACAAATCAGTGGAAGGGCAAATATACAAAGGTTTGCTGAAGCTCAGCTTGTCTGCAGCCAGTTCCAGCTCCTAGCTGGCTCAGAGGCTTTTCCAAGTTCCCTGTGAGCACCAAAGCTACTGAAAGGATGAATTTAAGGAGCTGGGCTGGGTCATCAGACATCGGGCTCAGAACAGCTCCTACAGTTTCCTTCTTGCTCATTCAGTCTCTCTGCTCTTCTATCACCAAAACTGGCACAAGAATCCTTTATCCCTGTCCTCTTTTTACTCTCTTCAGAAGAAAGGTTAATCTTGGTAAATGCAGGCTCTAATGCAGTGGACCTTTTTTTGTTGTTTAGGCTTCAAGGCATTACTAATACACATACCAAATTTGTTTCTTTGAATAAAGCATCTTCACTCCTCTTTTGAAGTCAAAAATGAATAGATGCTTTGTCTGCTCTGGACAGCTAAAGCATATGTAAGAGATGTGATGACCCTCACTTAGGCTGTCTATAGTGATTCTCTACAACTCTGACTGTCAGATGGATGTTTGGTGGAGTGTCAGGTCTTCTAAATACATCTGAGTTCTTGCTCAGCCCCTGACAGGGCTCTGAAGACATTTTGTGGAGGACTACAAATGCTGCTGAGCTCATGACTGCCTCTGAACTGTTTGAGTTGTACCTCTTTAAGTAACACAAAGGGAGTTGTATGTGTTAGATCTTACCCCTGTTAATGAGTAAAGAAATGTAAACAAGGTTGTTTGGGTATTGTGGGTGACATTCACCTTTCCAACCAGCCTTTGCTGGCAGTGTTACACGTGTACCCAAAATAAACTAAAGAATTGCAGTGGCCATGAAGAACAGCTCTACGTGGTCCCAAATATTAGTTTTTAGTGGCTGTGCTGGCAGTCTGAACATCGAGGCCACTGCAGAGAAGTAGCCAGTGGTGTACCTGAGTTAGGAAGAAAACTCCAATTTTCTCTATACCTTCTCTGCAAGAATTATCTTCATAAATCTGGGGAAATGCCAGATAGAAAGCCAGCTTCCTGATGCCTGAGGCATCTTGGCATCTCTAGGCAAGTCACTGGCATAGTGCTGCTCTGGAAGAGCTCTGTGAGAGCCATGCTGTACATCAGTCAGGCATGTACTGATGTACCATGGTACTTTTAACCAGTACCACCACACCACAGGCTGTGCTGGCAGCTCATGAGGAGCGTAAACACTGTGGATCTCATGGCAGTTTTCCAGAGAGATGAGGGTTTCTGGGGACTAGCACATGTTCCTGTCCCCTCCTGCTGCTAACACAACTCATGATGCTGATTATACCCTGGATTTTTGTCCATAGGACCACGAACAGGCTTCTGAACAGATGAGAAAAAAAATCCTTGTATTTACAAAATCTGGGCAACACTAAGGCCAGACTTGGCTACTGAATTATGTCTGAATTTGTAGCCCTCCCATGTTGACAGCTACTCTCAGGGCTACCACACTGCCATGGGGCATGGGCTCTTGAAGGCCCTGATCTTTGGAAGAGGAGCCTAATCTTTCTGTTTTACCTTCCTCTTTTTGCCCTGACCCATTTGCTTATCAACACTTGTCCATGAGTAAATTACTTTTGCTAGGACCCAGGGCAGAAAGCCTCTCTTGAAGCCCTCATCCATGATACTAGCCTGGGGCAGTGTTTGCTAAGCCTGCCATACTGGGGGAAATATTTTCCTTGGATTAAAATTGGTGCCACACTGTAACCTTCCCAAGCTGCCACACCGCTGTTGTGCCTGGGGATCAGCCTGTGGCACATCCCTTCTAGTGTGGCTGCTGATCTGCTGGGCTTTGGGGGCACATGGCCATGAGGATGGGCAGGCAGCAGGCACAATGGCTCAGCCACATTTGTGGCTGAGTGTATCCGAACACACATGTTGGGAATCACCGATCCAGGACAGACATGTGGATTTTGGTTCTGCTTTCATACCCAGTACACTCAGAGACTCCTCCACTCCCACAAGAGATGGTTTGGCTCCAAAAATCCTCAGAGAGCAATTGGCCAAGGTGAATCTGACCGTTTACACCTTTGAGCTGTTTATCCCTTCCCAGGTGCTTGTGATAAGACATTACTGGTTTGGAGGAGCCTGTTCTGATATGGCATAGAGGAAGTACTTACTGCATGCCATGGATTGGAACTTCCCCATGCAAGTGTCTGGGCACAATGGCTTTCATTCACTGTTGGCTGGCAGAGATATGTGTAGCAAGTGCCAGCACTGAAGCCCTGACTAAAACTACACACATATCCCTGGAAACTTGATGTGCTTTGATGGGATGTGGTGATGTTGATGCTTGTGGGCCTGTGACTGCAGGCTGTGTTTTGCATGGAGGTGGCAGAGGGCAAGTCAAAGGGCACTGGCTTGGGAAGGGACTAAGAGATGCAGCATGTGGTGTGGGGACTGCAGCTCAGGTATGCACTTGTGACTAGTGGGGTGGGTATGTCCTTTGAGGGTGTAATTGTTTCCCAAAGAGGAATCACTACCAGGGGTGGCTATAGCCTGGCCAGGCTGTGCAGCAGCATAATGCACATGATGCCAGAGAGGCCACTCTTTTGCTGCTCTGGGGTTTGAGATGCCACACCATAGGGGACACCTTGGGGACGCACGATCAGCTGCTCCTCTGTCATAACCTCGTGTGTGTCCCACTTTGCAGCCACCACGGCATCTCCTCATCCCCCTCTCACCTTCTGAGCCCCTCCACAGCGCAGTTTTTTGCCTGAATTTTATCAGCTCCTCATTGGCAAGAAGACCAGCCTGTGCGAGGGCTCTGAGTCTGATCGTGTGGCAGATCCGGGGGCTCTTTACCAGCCTCTCTGCTGTGCCCACCCGGCAGCAGGCAGGGGCCGTTCACCCCGCGGGATTGTGCGGGTCCGGGACGGGGCTGGAAGCGGGGGGGATCCTTGATACCCTCTCGCCCCGCTGCCCCGGAGTGTTGCTCTGCGCGGGGCCGGGGCTGGTGCAGAGTGGCGGGGCGGGTGCGGGCCAGTGGGCGGTGCGGAGCCGGGGCCGGGGAACATGCGGATGCGGACCGGACAAGGAGCACGGCGGGGGATGGCGGCGGCGGACCTGCAGGAGCTACGGGCGCTGGTGGAGCGGGCGGGCGGCCGACGGGCAGTAGTGCTGGTGGCCGAGGTGGCGGAGGGGGCCCCGGCGGCGCCCGCGCTGGCCGCCTTCGCCCGCGACCTCCTGGACGACGAGGCGCCGCGTCGCGTCTCGGGACCGCGGTTCTCCTACTCGCCTGCGGGAGGTGGTGCGGGACGTGCGCGGCCGCCTGCCCGCGGGGCCGCCGCCCGCCGTCGTGGGCGTCCTGCTGCCCGGCGGGGACGGAGAGGACGCGGCGGTGCTGGACGCGGCGCTGCGGCGGCACTTCCCGGCGCCCGGCACCGTGCAGGCGGCTCGGTACAGCCCGGGCAGCCCCGGCGACTGCCGTGCCGCCGCCTGCCGCGCCCTGCGGGCTGCCCTGCAGCACCCCGCAGGTACCAGGGTTGGGGAACCCCTTCCTTCCTCCCCCCACCCTCCCTCCCTCATCCGGGGCCGGGTTTTTACAGTGGGATTTGCTCCGTTTTCGTGTGGGATCTTCCCCTTCTCAGTGAGATCTACCCCATCCTAATGGCTTCTGATCTCTCCTCATGGGATCTCCCCTACAATGGGGTCAGGCTTTTCCCATTAGGATCTGACAATTCCCGATGGGAGCTTCTCCTGACCCAGTGGGATCTGACTTTTCCCATTGGGATTGGACCACTCACTACTGATGGGATCTTTACACACGCACAATCCGATCTGCCTTTTCCCAATGAAACCTCTGTCATGCTGGTGGAATCACAGCCTTTCCAATGCGAACTGCCTCTTTCTGGTGAGGTTCCCAGACCTGTCAGTCAGAGCAGACAAACTTCCCAGCAGTTTGGGAAACACTAGAGTAGCTCATGGATAACAGGGATATGGCAGCTGACAGCCATGACATGGTGGCCTCCCATGCTTTTTGGATGTGTGTTCTTGGGGGAAGCAGGACTGGGATGTGGCCTGTGCCGTAGGGTGCAGGCAGGACCTGACCTTCCTGCAGGAGGAGGATGTTTGTGCTGATTTTGCATAATGAATAAGTAACAAAAGCAAGTAGTTGTTTGTGTGTAAAATGGCATGTCACTGTGAGGATGGCAGGATGAAAGCTGGGTGTCAGCCAGGCCTGAGGAACAACATTTGCCCTGGGGTGAAAGGGGAGTTGCGTTTGTGTGTCAATGTGGGGTGCTGGGCAGCTGGGCAGGCTCTGCTCTCACAGCTGCCACATAAAACACTTTAATCTTTGGCACTGTTTGTCTTGGGCTGTTTCCCTTTCCTCCTCCCTTCTTTCATTTTTTCCCACTTTTACCTTGCTCCCCAGCATTTCCAGGGACTTGGGTGTTTTGCTGTCTTGCTGGCTTTATCTCAAAGGGATCATGCCACTTGCCTTCAGCACCACAGGGTTGACAGGGTCTCCTGAGATCTCTGGGACATGAGGATGATTGGCTGCAGTTCAGGTGCTTCTTTCTATCAGCTCAGCCCAGAATCCTGGACCTGAATGCTGAGGAGCTTTGAGGTGGCTGGTGGTGAGGGCACAGGGCTGTCTTCTGCCACCTCTCTACTGAGGCACACACAATCCTCTTTCCAGCTTCTCTCCTTCACATGCTTCTGTCTTCCTCACACTGTTCCTGCTGCAAGAGTTTCTGGTGTGCTCCCAGACACCTATGAATCCTCCAGTTCTCGTCACAGCAGTCTGGTGGGAGAGCAGCTGCAGAGGCAGAATATCATCCCTGCATACCTTTTTCTGCCTTGGCACTTTGCTGGTGCTTGGCTCAGTATATGTATTTTTGTGGCTGGCTGTGGAGAATGCGAAGCAGGAGGAGCTGGATTGGGTATTATAGCTTGCTTGTGTGTGCTCACTCATTTCTGATGCTCTGCCTGGTGCTCTGAGTCATGTAAGTGTCCCAGTGCGTGTAATGAGGACACTCATCACCTTCAGGGTTCAACCTTAGGCAGGGACAGCTCCTTTCCATGCTCCTGTGAGCTTTGCCTTCCAAAATCTCCACCTGGACAGAGGGATCCCAAGCATAGCTGTGCCTCCAAAGAGCAGTTGAACACTTCAGGCAGTGCACCCTAGGCAGTGCACTGGAGTTTTTTGTTTGTTGACTGCCAGAAAGACACTGAGCCCTTTAGTGTCGCAATGGCTTGATAAAGTGAAGGACACTGAAGTGGTTTATCATTTGTTATCTGAATAGGACGTGAAAGGCTGGATGATATTTCAATGGGGATACTGAACTGCTGCTGTTGGAGACCATAAAAAATTTTGCTGCTGTAGTATTTTACAGGCTGCTGTAGTGTTTTACTAAAATGGCTGGAAAGTCTGTAGTAACTTTGCTGCCTTCTAGAATAATTACCATACATTGACCACATGCTCTCTGCAATTTTCAAGCAGTTACAGCTGCCGTTTTCAGTGTGCTGCTGCAAGACCCCGTGTCCAGCAGGTCTCCGTGGGAGGGAGGAATTGCTTAATACAGCAGGGAGCAGTAAACAGGCTGATGTGGTAGATGCTGTGTGACAATGCAAAAGGAAAACTTCCTTCTGTGACTGTGTCAGTCCCCAGCCTCGCCACGTGTGCCAGCTGAGCTCCTGACAGGTTTCTTGCTCACTCTCAGCTGCCACATCCATGTTGGTTTTGCCAGTGAGGTGGCAAAGTAAAAACTGACACCAGGGACAAATTTCCAGGGTAGCAGAGAGGTTTCAGCCAAAAATAAGGACTGCCAGGAGTTGCTCTGTGCTTTCCAGTGGTGCGTTTTGTGGAATGGATCTGGATTTGTTTCCAGGCTCATGGAGGGAGAGGTGAAGAAGAAGCAGGGCTGACCTGCTACCAGTCTGAACTCATCTTCTCTGGTTTATTCAGAAGACATGAAAGACAGGGAGAGGTGGAGGTTGCCATCCTTTCTGCAGTGCATTTCTTGGAACCAGAGGAGCTGGAGAAAAGATTACAAAGCAAAAGCTGAAAACAACATTCATGAAGGTATGCCCAGCTCCCTCCCTTGTACTCTGTTGTGATTGTCAGAAGTTCCTCATGATTCCCTGGTGGTTCTGGTGCCCAAGCCCCTTGCTGGTAGCCTCTTCCAGCTACTTCCACCTCTGCAGTTGACCTTGCTTCCCTGGCTGTGGAACCAAACCTGAAGACAACCAGCACGTGTCTGCTTTGTTGCCATTTCCTTGTTTTCTGACCTTTTAGTTGTCTAAACAAAATCACACTGAGTCTGGTGCCCAAATACATCCCTGGAAGCACTGCTGAACTCAGCTGCATTTTGTTTGAATGTCTGAAAGCAGAACTACTCTCTGTCTAATCAAAGAATTGGAAGCACCCTGATAGTATGTGACGTTTTCTTCAAACATGGGTGGAAGCAGCGTTCCCAAAACATTTGTTTTTGGGGCTGGCAGAGAGAAGGGAGAGGGCAGTAAGCCATGGGCTCCCTGATTCTAAAGGAAATTGTTCAGGTAACACATAGCATAGCATTCAGCCTTTGTGCATGGTTGGCACTTTGGCTTGTACTTCCCAGCAGTGACTTTCTTTTTGCAGGAGTGCCTCAAGGCTTGTGGTGTGGAGATCCAGGTTGTACTATGAAGCACAAAGAGGAGGGAAACCTCCTTCACTGTAACAAGAAAGACTAGACTAGACTAAACTAGACTAGAATAGAATAGAATGTTATATTTTCACTTGAAAGGGACCTACAATAATCATCTAACCTAACTGCCTGACCACTTCAGGGCTGACCAGATTTTAAAGGATGTTATTAAGGGCCTTGTCCAAATGCCTCTTAAATATAAAAAATACTTAAAGAGCATAAAAGTCAGACAAAACAACTGAAATGAATGCCCAATTTATGCAGCTTTGAGACATGTGAGACATATGAGGCTTGTGAGACCCACTCTCCATGTCAGAAAATGGAAGTGCCTGATCTTGCTGTCAGTGCCAGGCAGACAATACACTGTGGCCATGCAATTTGTTTGGAGATTGCTGAGACTCCAGGAGGCCAGGAGCTAGGTCCTGTGCTCCTTTGCTCTATTTGCTGAAGCAATGTTGAGTTTGTAAACAAAATGAAAATGAGTTTCGAAAAAAAAGTCAGCTGTGCTTAGGTTGTGACTATGTATCAATTGCTTCAGCCCATGGCTTGTTTTTTTTTTTTTCATCTTAATCTGCATTTCCTGGGAAGAGGGGTTTTCCATTCAGGTCTGCCTTGACCTCTCTCTGCTCCCTGCAGATGGCCTGCAAGACCCTGAGGAAGAAGTGGCTCTGGCCAGCCTTTCCCCCAATGGAAACTGTGAAGAAGCTGCTGGAGGCACAGGCACCTAGAGCTGCTGGGCATCCAACACAGTCCACATGCCACACCTGCCCAGTGGATTTGGAGCAACAATAGGAAGAGGAGCTGGTGCAGGCCCTCTCCTCCAAGGACCCACAGCTCCAGGGAAAAGCTGCTTGGCTGAACTCATCAGGGTTTTTTTAGCTGCCACCAGCACTGAGGGTCTGTGCCAGAGAGCCATTCCCTGCTGCCCTGGGGAGCTGCAGCGGGACACTGGGCTTCTGAGAAGCCCTTAGGGGATGTACCTCACATCCTGGGCAATATGACGTTGGGACTTTGAGTGTGAAATGCAGCCACCTGTTTGAAGAATGAGAAATGTTTTCTGATTCTGAGCAAAGTTCCCTGCTGAGGTTGCTGGGGCTGGCCTCCCTGGCAGACTGATTCTGCTGCCTTGTTTTCCTGCTTTATTGGTGCTTGGAAGTTCCCACCCTCTTTGTGACCAAAAACCAAACCAAACCAGAACAAAACAAAACAAAACACACAATCCCCCCCAGCCAAGTAACAGAGTGGCTTGGAGACTGCAGTGGGACTAAATGTGAGCTCTGGGAACTACCAGCTACTGAGAAGGCTTGAATGTAACAGTGTAACATGAAGAATGCAGTAACAGCCCAGCTTGAGTGGCAAGAACAACATGAAAGATACTGATAGTACTGATAGGCATGTAGATCAGAGTGGGGTTTGGGAGCAGGATCTGTCCCTCTGGCTTGTCCTGGTGCTCACAGGCTAACTGAGGGATGCCTGGGTTGGAGGGTTGGCAGGTGGGCACTAAGGTGCTAGGTGGGGCTACAGGAGAGGGTCATCTTACCTGGGATATCTCCACAAGCATGGTGCCACATCTGGGAGGTGGCCTGCAGCACAAGAGGGGGTTTCATTAATAAACATAAACATATAAAAAGTATCTATTTAAGTAGATCTAAAGGGTTGCCTGTAGCCTGTGGGGAAACACAACTAACTAGAAATCCTTGGTTTACAAGGACTATTACTAATGTTAAGAATATCTTTTAAATTCTTTACGCAACATAAAAGAGGTCTTGTTGGTTTTTGTTGGTTTTTTTTGGGGTTTTTTTTTTTTTTTGGGTTTTTTTTTGGTTTCTTTTTGAGCACAAGCTTGGGACTGTCTTTCCTTTAGGAGTTTCCCCCAGCTCAGATAAGAAATTTCAACCTGCCTACCTCTACTTTGGATTAGTTGCCAAAGTGCATCCTCTGTGCATGTCTGTCCTCTCTCTGTCTCCTTTTTCCCCACTGGCACAGAAGTGCCTGGAGTCCTGCCAGCTCTGGCCAGCACTCTACCCCAGCAGCTTGCCTTTGGCATCCCTCTAGCTCTTACCTGGAGCAGGGAATGCTGCTCTGCAGAGAGGGCACTGAGCTGTCCCACTCTCCTCCAGCCTCCAGAATTTCTGTGCTTATGACCTGTGGAAAATACAAATGTGACTTGGTGTGGGTGGCTGCGTTACCGGCCCCAGATTTCAGCACTGCACACTCAGTGCATCTTGGTGAGATCAAGGTTCCCCCCTGCTCCATCCCTGCTCAGCCCAGGTGGCTGTGCAGCTCTGTATTTCCCAGTAAAGCCCTTGGTTATGTGGGCCGAGCAGGACTCACCAGTAGGAATCTTCATTTTCTTGCAGCATTTAGCCTTTGCTGCTAAGCATTCTCCAGTGAAGAGGTGGTCCAAGAGCAGAGACTGGCACAAAACTCCCTTAGTGCTGCAAATCCACTGGAATTATTTACTGCTAATTTTTAGGTGAATCATGCAAGTTTACCCCTGGAAGAGACTGGTGGAAGTGGATGAACTGCCTGGGCCTTATGGGGTGTGAGCAAGAATACATTTGACCAAAAGTATTGTTTTTTCTTTGACTGAGGAATAAAAGTGACTTGAATAACATTTTTTTTTAGCTTTTCTCTTTTCACTATCTGTGCACTTGGAGGTGTAAGCAGATAGTTTTACATGTTTCATTGATTGAATAATTTAAGGGCACTATCACGTGCTTGTTGAATAAAGACACTTAATTTCCAAATTGGAATGTGCTTATTTGCTTGCCATGGTGTTATGCTTGATGTATAGCTTAACTGATTTATCTTGGCTTGAAAAAACTGGATATTGGAATGGAATGGAAGTGACCCCAGTGTCTGAAATGCAGAAAGCAGAAGTGAGTGCAGCCCAGGTGGGGCAATGGAGAAGGCAGGACATCTTCCCAGCTGCCCAAGAGTGGAGCAGCCCCTCTTGGCATTGCGGGTAGGGCTCTGATAAGCTTTCATTAGTAACTTTCATTAATAACTTTCAGTAACTGATACCATTATGCACCCTCGAGGAATTCAAGCCCTTCATAGGGTATTTCTTCCTATTCAGTAGCAACAAGGAGAAATGAATGCTGCCGAGGTCTGGGCACTTTGGTCTCTTGTGTAGCGCCGCTGCTCCTGAGCTGGACTTTCCCTGGTACAAATCCACCAGCCTGGGTATCCCATCTGTCTTGTGCCGCATGTGTTAAACCCATGGGATAAAATCGCTGATCCTTGCACTGCCATGGGACACGCTGCGGGCGGCCTGCCCGGGCGGGGGAAGCAGCCGCTTCTCTGGGCACGGCACAAAGGCGGGCACCGGGGGGTCACTCGTGGGGAGCTCACAGCTCGGGTCCCGCTCGCGCAGGCGGCGGTGTGGGCGGTGTGGGCTCTGCGGGGCCCCGTGGGGAGCCCGTGGGGAGCCCCGGGAGGCGCGCGGCGCTGCCGGGGCGCCCGTGAGGGGCGGCCGACGGTACAAGGCCCCCGTCGGCAGGGCTGCCCCTCTCCTGCCTGCCTGTTTCTCCGCCGTCCCGCGCAGGCGATCACACGGGCACCTCTCCCGGGCGCAGCGCGGAGCCGCCGGAAGAGGCCCTTGGCTGCACTTCCGGGCCGGGCAGCGGCGGCGGAACTGCGGTTGGGCCGGACCGGACCGGACCGGACCCGACCCCTGTGGACCCTTCGGACCTCCCCGACCCCTCCTCCGAGGGCAGCCGGGCGGCACCATGATCACCTCGGCCGGTGAGGCAGCGGCGCGGGGCGGCGTTGTCCGCCGGGGTTTCGCTGAGTCAGGGCCGTGACTGAGCACCGCCGCGGCTCCGCGGGGCCGCCCGTCACGGGGCTCCCCCGCCCCGGGCACCCCCGGGCGGCAGAGAGAGGCCACCCCGGTGCCCGGCGGTCCGGCACGAGCGGCTCTCGAAGGCCGGTGCCGCGTCCGTGTCCTGCCGGTGTCTCCCGGGGGCTCCGGCGGCGGTGCGGGGCTCCCGCGGTGCGAGGGGCGCGCTCGAGGGAGCGGCGCGTTATCGGTGTGAAAGCGGAGGGCACTCGGGAGGTGCAGCAGGGAGCCGAGAGGGGCAGAAGGAAGGAGTTTGGAGTTCAGGAGCGCAAATGCCTTGCGGAGGAAAGGGCGGTGTGAGGAGCGCGGGAGGCGCTGGGGGTTACGCGGTGTTTGTGCACCTTTTGAGCGCTTGATAGTGTAGAAAAATAGAGGAATTATTTCCAGAAATACTCAGGCCGGAGGTTAACATGCGGCTGGTTGTGGCTTGGCGAGAAAAACAGTGCAGAGCGTGACAGTGTCCAGGGAGCTTTCTCTTCCTGTACCCTTTGGTTTAAGTCTTTATTTTAATTGAGGAAAAGTAGGAATTAATTTTAGAGGCATTTAAAAATGTAAAAATGATATGTGGGAGCGGGTATGTAGGTGGTGTGTAGGAGTGAGATTGCATTCTCCTGACAGATCAGGTAAATGCAGGAACTTATTTAAAATAATAATGAAATCCCAAAGCAAACATGTGGTGCAGAGATGCAGGAAACAGCTGGAAGGAGCTGGAAGTGAGATGGCTGCTGAATCTTCCTTCTTTGCCCAAGAGTGGTGTTCCTTCAATTCCTGTTACTGATGGATGTGTGTCTGACCTGGCCTTTAGGAACAGAACCTGATAATGGAGGATCTGCAGCTTCATTAGGCAAAGGAATAAATGTGTGAGAAAACTTTCCAGATCATCAAACCTCATTCTTTGAGGCTTCCCTAAAGTTTGGTGTTACTCTTCCTGTTAGCATGTGACAGGAAGATCAGAAGATTCCCTTCTTGCTGGCAGCTGCCCTGCAGGCTGCCCTTCCCAGGTGTCTGTAGACCAAGGAGTGGAAGCCTCCAGCCACCCTGGCTGCCCGAGCTCCCTGCTCCCAGCACCCTGCTTTGCTCGTGCCTCAGTCGTGGTGCCCAGCACTGAGCACAGCCTCTGGCCACTGGGTGCCAAGGGTTTGCTCGTGCCTCTGTCGTGCTGCCCAGCACTGAGCACAGCCTCTGGCCACTGGGAGCCAAGGCATGCCAAGGGAAGGGAAGGTGTCTCATGGAGCTGCCAAGAACTGCTCTCACTTACACAGCTGTGTGAGGTTTGGCTTCTCTGCCTCCCACTGCAGCTAAATGATATTATTGATCATATTTTTTCTTAACCCTCTGTACTGTTCAGATTCAATATTTGTACATTTTGGTTTGGACCTGCTCCTTTAGATTTGTCAAGATCTTTTGGAAGCCCAGTTCAGCCCTCCCAAGGCTTGCTGGCCTTTCCAGTTTCTGGTGTTTTTTTCAGGTTTAAAGAAGCTGTACAACAGATTAAAGATTTAAAGCAGTGAATTTTGTTGGACTTTGATCAGATCATATTCCAACTGCCTCTTTGCAGTCTGGCAATGAAACCACCTATCCCTGTTCTTCAGATGAGCTCCTGTGAACCTCTCAGTCATGTCAGTTAAACAGTGTTTCTGTAACTGTACAAATGTTCTGGGACAAGATCAGCAGTCAAAAGCATAAAGCTGTGAGGTACATCTCATCTCATCCATGAGGCCAGTTTCCTTGGCATGGAAAAACTGTGTTCCCCTAGGAAGGATCACCTTTTGTAAATAATGTAACTTTTCAGTTATAATTTCTGAACTATTTTATGTTATATTTAATACAAACTTGAATCTTACCTTTGAAGTTTTGTACTGAAGACTTAAAATCAGTATTCCAGAGCCAGCCTTCCTTCCTGTTCTGTTGGTTTTAAACTAAATGACAAGCTTACTTTTGATAGAGAGAAACCAAAAGTAACTATGATTTTGTTTTGCAGCTGGAATTATCTCTCTTCTGGATGAAGAAGAGCCACAGCTCAAGGTAAGCTCTTACATATGAGAGCAAATAAAAGCAAATGCATTATGTGGAGAGTTTAAAATCAAAAAAGAGTAGATCTCAGTAATTTATGGTGGGCACCAAATTGAATCTAGCCTGAAAGCTAAAAGAAAGGGCTTAAATAAGTGATTACAGATTGAAGACTTCCTTTTTTTGAGCATGGATCAAACAGGAGCTTCAAATGCAAAAATCTGTATTCATGAAAGCTCCCATCCTGCTGGTGGTAATGGGGCTTTGTTACTTAAAATTGTTCCAGAGGCTGCATTTTTACTATGTAAAATTCAAAGCTGAAGAACAGCTCAGGTTTTTAGAATAATTTAACCAATGTAGAACAAAATCACAGTTACAGTTTTCACTTGGAAAAAAAAATCACAGTAATAATACAAGAAGAAGAAAACAGCAACAGAAACTTTCCAGGCCACAGAACACCAACACTGAGAGTTGGTGGTGTGTTGATGGAACGTGCACTTTTCAATATTTGTAATTCCCTAATTGTTCTTCTTGGATACACATATGGGTAGTAATGGATCTGAATGATCCCTGATTTTGCTGTGAGCTCATTACAAGTGGGCTGATTGTGGTTTGTTTATCATCTGAAGTACTGTGTCCATATAGATAAATAGAGTTGGCTGCTGTAGGCCACAGGTTGATTCCATGTGCTACACAAAGGTTGTCACAATTTCATCTGTCAGACACATCAGCCAGTCATTCATCAGAGAGAGGCCATGGAAAGGAATGCTAGAGTTGTCCTACCTATGAAGTGAACAGCTCTTTGTTTGCAAAGGACTTGCAAAGATTAGTGAATGCTTGCAAAGATCTTTTAAAATAGAATTTCCTGTTGAAATGGGTCAGTGTTCATGATATTCATCCTAGAATGTACTATATTTTTACTGGGGAAAGGTGGTAAATGCATTTTTAATATAATATAACTTTACCTTTTTTGGTTTTTTTAGGAGTTTGCTCTTCACAAGTTGAATGCTGTTGTCAATGACTTCTGGGCAGAAATCTCTGAGTCAGTGGACAAAATGTAAGAGAAGACACTTAATACTGCTTAAAAAGAACAGGGATATGGGGCATGAAGTGGATGTAGTTCTGGTTTCTTGACAATGGTTAATACAGCATGTAGCTCCATAGTTCCTAGAGATCTCTAATGTGTGGGGTTGGAGCTGTGGTCCCAAAGATTCAAGTTCAGTCAAGCTTGTTCTTGAGTCACGTGGCCTTGACAAGATCTGAGCACGCAGAGCTGATGCTCTTCTCTCCCTCCTCTGCAGTGAAGTTCTCTATGAAGACGAAGGCTTTCGGAGCCGCCAGTTTGCTGCTCTGGTTGCTTCTAAAGTTTTTTACCACCTGGGAGCCTTTGAGGAATCCCTGAACTATGCCCTGGGAGCTGGTGACCTCTTCAATGTCAACGACAACTCGGAATACGTGGAGACGATCATCGGTAAAGAGCTGTTGCTGCAAAGGAAAAGCTCTTGTGTTGTCAAAGCTGCTGTAACGTTGAAATTTTACTTGGTTCAGCTTTTTTCTCTGTATTCTTCTTGCTCATTTAAACTGATGCTGCAGCTAATTTTACCCAGTTTATTTGTACTTTCTTATATTTTGGGATTCTGTAATGGAACTGACTTTGCAGTTCTGGAGTTCTTTTCCCATTCTTAACTCTTATTCTGTAGTGAATTCCTAATAAGATTGCTTTGATTGTTTATTGTCCTTTCTCTCATTTGTGTGCTGATGTTATTATCCATTTCAGCATGACTTTGGAAATAATTGACTGGTAAGTGTAGCTGCACATGTAATTGAGAGGGACAGTTGTGTTTATCCGCCTACAACAAGATGGCAAGTCAGCAGTTGACTGCAGGTATAATTTGAATGCATTTTAAAAATCTCATCTGCTGCAGTCACTTGCTTTTTACAAGATATGATGGAGCTGGGCTGGCTTTCAGTCCCCCCAACTGCTGTTTGCAGTGGAGCTGGGAAGTCTCCTACTGCTGTTTTCTCATTTATTTAACATGACACTTGAGAAAAGATAATATCATAGGTTTAATTTTTAAAATACCTACTTGTTTTCAGCACTAAAATCAGAGTTTGTTAGGAGATAAGTGTTTTCCACTATTATCTGTATATGACTACACAAATGTGCAATTTCCCATACTTTACTTGCTGGTAGAACATGTTCATGCACGTGCTGGTCTCTTCACCTGTACAAAACTGCAAAAATCTGGGAACTTGACTTTTCCCCCCATATCTGTTCATTATCTCTTCAGCGAAATGTATCGACCACTATACCAAGCAGTGTGTGGAGAATGCAGAGCTGCCAGAAGGGGAGAAGAAACCCGTGGATGAGAGGCTGGAAGGGATAGTGAACAAAATGTTCCAGCGGTGCTTGGATGACCACAAGTACAAGCAGGCCATTGGCATCGCTCTGGAGACACGCAGGCTGGACATCTTTGAGAAAACCATCCTTGAGTCGGTATGTGCAAGAGACAGGAGGTGCCTGTAGCTAGGCTTTTCCAGGTATGGACCCAGAAGTCAAGTGCAAGATCCATGTTGCTGTGGAACTTGCCCTGTTTTGTATGAGCAGAACAAAAGATAAAACT